TGGAGAACTAGAGGAGGAAATCTACATGGAGGTTCCACCGGGTTATGGTCATAACTTAGCTGCACACAGAATGTAGATTGAATAAGGCCTTGTATGGACTTAAGCAATCGCCGCGAGCATGGTTTGGAAGATTTGCAAAGGTAATGACAGCTATGGGATATCAGCAAAGTCAAGGAGACCATACACTGTTTGTCAAACACTCATTTTTAGGGAGAGTTACAGTCTTCTTAGTATATGTTGACGACATAATAGTGACGAGAGATGATGATGATGAGGAAAGGCAGCGTCTCAGTCGATGTTTAGCCAAAGAATTTGAGATTAAGATGCTACGGAGGCTGAAGTATTTTTTGGGAATCAAGGTGGCTCATTCCAAGCAAGGTATGCTCATCTCCCAGCAAAAATATGTTACAGATCTTCTCAAAGAAACCGGGAAGACCACGTGCAAGCTGGCGAGCACTCCAATAGATCCAAATTTGAAGCTCAGAGAAGCGGAAGAAGATGTCGCAGTGGATAGAGAGCTATATCAACGCTTGGTGGGGAGACTTATCTATCTATCTCATACTAGGCCAGATATAGCATACGCGGTAAGTGTGATTAGTCAATTCATGCATAATCTGAAGGAGGCACATCTACATGCAACATACCGAGTATTGCATTATCTCAAAGGGACACCAAGAAGAGGTAGTTTGTTCAAAAGGAATGGAGGAGGAATGCTTGAAGCGTATATAGATGTAGACTATGACGGGTCAGTGGTAGACAGACGGTCAACTTCTGGTTATTGCACTTTTATTGGTGGAAACCTTGTGATGTGGAGGAGCAAGAAACAGAATGTTGTAGCTCGTTCTAGTGCAGAGGCCGAATTCTGAGTGATGGCTTAGGGTGTGTGTGAATTACTATGGTTGAAGATTATTTTAGAATATTTAAAGATTAAGTGGGATGGCCCAATGAGACTCTACTGTGACAACAAGTCTACAATTAGCATAGCTCACAACCCAGGACAACACGATAGAACAAAGCACATTGAAATCGACAAACACTTCATCAAAGAGAAGCTAGGTAGTGGCCTGATTTGTACACCTTATGTATCTACACAGGATCAACTTGCTGATGTACTCACGAAAGGACTTAGTAGTTTAGTGTTTCAAAATCTTGTGTCCAAGCTATGAATGGTGAATACCTATTCACCAGCTTGAGGGGGAGTGTGGAAAACGCAATCTATTGATTTTGTAAATAGGATATATTAGAAAAGTTTGAATTTTATATTTTGTATCCCTAGGATTAAGGTAATCAGTTAGTTTCCTGATATCCCGTGAATAATGAGATAAGGTGTAATCTAAGAGATTCTATTTTTTGTGTATAAAACCCTAAGAGGGCCGGCTATATAGAGTAATTGAGTGAATAAGAAATATATTTTCTTCTCTTATTTTCCCACAGGTCTCGTGATTCAGGAGTGAGCGGGGTCGATTTTGGCATGGTTAGGGTTGGACCTCGTAATTACAACAATATTAGGCCTAGTTTTGGTGCAATGGTGGTTGAGCCTCAAAATTCCAACACATTTAGGACTGCGTATAGTAAGTCTATGGCTGGGTATGAAGCAATTGGTGACAAAGAGGCTGAAAGGATGAAGACCTGGTTAGCTGAGAAGGAAACTTCTTTGTTAATGATAGATTTGTCAAAAGCTTTTATGGTCATTAATAAGCTTGATCAAGGGGCTCCAACTGAATTGGTGGATTTTGTGGTTGCTTTCCAAGATACAAAGAAGATGGAGAAGAAAGTAATTGATTAGCTCCAATTTGAAGACGTGACTTACAAGGACAACATCAATTTGGGGTCTCAAATCAAGGAACTAACAAAGTCTTTTGTTCTTAATCATTTAGATGTTATTTTTCAATTTTATTTATTGATTTTCACCTTGAGGACAAGGTGATTTTGGGGCGGGGGTAATGTTAGGAACCTGATAGTTAGTGTTAAAATATAAAAACTATTGTTGGTCCACCTCCTAACAGCTTAAGTTTTTAGGATTGATTGGTAAACTAACATAGTATCTGTCACGCCCCAGATCAGGGGTGACGTGGAGCTCGATTAGGGTTAAACGCATGATAATAATAAAGGAAATACCCAACGAGCCCCACACACTGAATTAAAACGAACTACAGGATCTTTCCACAGGATCTCGTTACCGTACATACATGACATGTAAATAAATCATTACAGTTACAGACATCATCCACAGTCTAGTAATCCAAGTACAGGAGTTTACAAAATTACAAATTCTTACATTTGTTCTCACAGGAGGATGACACAATCCTCTCCAAAATCCAGGTGGTAGCACTCAGCTACTCCGCACTGCTCCTAGAGTCTCCTAGAAGGGGTTAACATTTTAAAACAATGAAACGTGAGCGAAAGGCTCAGTAGGATATATTTGAAATAACTTTATAAATAAATGAATAAATAAATAAGCGAGTAAATGAATAAGACATTCAGTTCCAACACAATAACCGGAACCTCATATCATTTTTCTCAAAGGAAATATAACTGAAAATTACCGTATTACAGGCATCAGCAAGTAATTTGCACAAATTACCTACACAACTAAGTGCACAAGCCTTCCCGGGCCGGGTTTTGGGTTCTGACCCCGAGGATGCACTCTCCACATCCTATCTAGGCCATCAGCAGGCTTACCGGTTCGCAAGATCTCTTTCATTAAGAAATTATTCATTAAACATTATGAAATCATTATTATAATCCCACGAACTACAACAAGTCGTGAGTCCCATGAACTACAACAAGCCATGGATTCCGTAAACTACAATAACCACGGGTTTTCAAATAGTTTTTCTTTTGCAAACAAGCCCCTTTCTTTTAAAACATTTTCAATGCCAAAACTCTTTTTTTTTTAAAATCAGGCTCACAAAGAAAAGAGGATAGAAATCCTACCTCGTGAATAACACACCTATGGCTAGCAGTGCACTATTTCAGCTTCCGCTTCCTTAAGCCACTCAATCTGAGTCCTCAGCTATCACTGTCACAAGACAATACTTTAGGATTCCAATCTCATTCCTAAAGTAATTCAGACTTAATCATATCCTTTAATTTCCTATTAGTGTGCTATAATCAATTTCATGTTTTAAATCATAATTCCAAGGGTTTTAATTCCAAAACATGGATTAAAGATGCTAATCCATCGACTCTAGGTCCCCAAATGAAGCTAATTTGGGTCCTTTTTGAAAACAATGGTCAAAACAGCAATTTCAGGCCAAACAGGGTCAAAGCCCGTGTACACCGGTCGACCGGTGACAGAGCAGTGCATCACCACCGGTCGACCGGTAGCCTCAGTGTAGTCCGGTCAACCGCATCGGTCGACCGGTGAAGAACTCCAGTGCGAGAAAACTCGCGGAACTCAATTCGAAAACCTGTAAATCCAGTCCTAATTCACAATATCTCAAGGGACAACACCTGAATCCGGGTTCTAGGCACTAAAACAAGTCCAAAGAACTCAAGATCCCCAATTTCTACCCTAGTTTTACTCAAAATCCATCAAAATTCGTTTCGAACCAAAAATAAGTTTTAGAATCCGAAATCTAGAGATTCAAGAGAGGTTTTTCAGAAATCTTACCTTGAATCCTTCTCTTGACGTTGAAAACTCTTTGAAACTTTCCTTTGATTCGAAATCCGGTTGATTTGAGACAAAACAGGAGAGAGAACTGAGAGAGAGAGTAGCACGGGAGGAAAAAGGGAAAAAGAAAGAAAAGGAAGAAAAGAAAAAGAAAAAGAGAAGAAAATAGACAGGTACCAACATTTAAAAAAAAAACAGTCTAGAAATGCGCCCATACACACTTCTGGGTTAAAATAAAATTACTGAGAATATTTAAATACCTTGAAATTATTTAAATTACACGTCAGAAACATTTATTAATCAAAACTCAATTAATTAAATCAGATTAGGCACACTAATAAATATTAATTATCTCAATTAATTCCATTTAATTCTTCGGGGTGTTACAGGTATCAAAGCGGGTGGTCCTGAGTTCTAACCCCCGTAATTGCACTCTTTATCCTCATTTAAATTGTCATCATGTGTTGGGTTTTTAATATATCTCGGGCTTAAATATTCACGTGTTGGGCTTTCTAATTAATTTACACCCACGATTACCCATTGTCTAGCCCACACGTGAGGGGGAGTGTTAAAATATAAAAACTATTGTTGGTCCACCTCCTAACAACTTAAGTTTTTGGGATTAATTGGTAAACTAACAGTTAGTAGTTGTTTTTTTAGTAGTATAAATAAGGGTCGGGTGGCTAATGAGGGCGGGAATGTGATTTGTAGAGAGTGTCTAGTGCTGTGCACTATCTTGGAGGTCGGGGGGTTCTCAAAACTGCCCATCCTATAATTTTACATTTTTTTTTGTGTTGTTAATGAAGCTCGGATTTTCGGGTTCCTAACGCATTTCATGCAATAGATAGTAACTAACTACCTACACCATCAACCAAGTGTAACAGCCATCTACACAACCAACCAAACTAACTAATGCTAACAACCCAGCACATAACAACTCAGTACCATTTTATACCACATACTGAGCCGCCTCCAATAAAATATAGCGAATTGGAAGCTAATCATCTGCCCACATAATGTTCTTAGACTGGAAAAGCCCAGGCTTACTCTTATTCACCTTAAGCCTAGACCATATGACGACACTTTACCTTCCTTTGGAATGAAGACCAGATGCGTGAAATTTGTCTCCTTATTAAGAAAACCCGGCCTGAAAAATTGTTGAACCAATTCCTCACATGGGATTGGTATAAGCATTTGGTATCCCCATTAGAGTTCTAGCGAAACTTTGTGATGAGAAGAAAATTGTCTTTGCTTGTTCCAAATCTAAATATTTGTGGATCTTTGGGGTGCTTCTAATGACTTAAAAGAACTATTTTTGAGATTAAAGAATTATCATGAGTTTAGCAAAAGATGGTACTTATTTTTTGAGTTGTTTGTACTCTAGGTTGGTTCAACCCCATGTGAATCATCTGAAAAGCTCAACATGTTGAAGTCAGAGTACATGGCAGCACTAGAGAAGAACAAGGATTTAAAACTGCAGGTAAAGGAATTGACCGAGAAGCTTCAGTTGGCTGAGCAAGGGAGGGATCAAGTACAGAAGCAGGTTCAGATGTTGGGTCCTCAGAAGAAAGTTGGGGCTTTTGGCACTGTCAAGGGCTTACGAACCAATCCCACTGTTGTCCCTGATGAGTCTGTGAATCCGAGATTGGCAAAGATCTTGGAAAAAGTTGCTGTTAATAGAGAGCTCATAGTTGCACTAGCAAACTCAAATGTTAAGGAGATGTTGGAGGTTTGGTATTCCAACATTAAGAGAGCGGGCATACCCAATTATCTGGTTGTTGCTTTGGATGATGAAATAGCTAAGTTATGTGAATCAGAGAACGTTCCATTTTACAAGAGAGATCCAGACAAAGGCATTGATTCGGTGGCGAGGATAGGAGGAAACCATGCAGTCTCTGGGCTGAAGTTTCGTATTCTGAGGGAGTTTTTGCAGCTAGGATATAGTATTCTCCTCTCGGATGTTGACATTGTTTACTTGCAGAACCCATTTGAACATCTCTACCGCGACTCGGACATAGAATCCATGACCGATGGTCATGATAATAGAACTGCCTATGGATTTAATGATGTGTTTGATGAACCTTCAATGGGTTGGGCTCGATATGCTCATACTATGCGCATATGGGTTTTTAACTCTGGTTTCTTCTATATCAGGCCAACAATTCCTTCTATCGAACTTTTAGACCGTGTGGCTGGTCGGCTTTCGAGGGAACCAAACTCTTGGGACCAAGCGGTTTTTAATGAGGAACTGTTTTTCCCTTCACATAACGGGTATGAAGGGCTTCATGCTTCAAAGAGAACTATGGATTTCTATCTTTTTATGAACAGCAAGGTACTCTTCAAGACTGTGAGACAAGATGCGAGACTGAGCAAGCTCAAGCCGGTGATCGTTCATGTGAATTATCACCCTGATAAGCTTCCGCGTATGAAAGCGGTTGTGGAATACTATGTCAACGGGAAGCAGGATGCTCTGAAACCTTTCCCCGTTGGTTCAGATTGGTGAGGCTTGTTTGTGCTCATTTAGATGCTTTTTGGGTTTGCAAGAAACACAATGTAAAACATTTCAAAGCATACGTGTAGGTCAAGTCGTCTGGTAAATATTTATTCTTCTCCTTTAAGAATGATGGGATTCTGTCTCTACATCATAAAATTTCATGCCATTTTGCTATTCTGCTAATCCTTTTGAATCGTATATTCACGTCGGCCTATGGTGATTCTATTTTCCTTCTTAGTGATGTATCAAATTAATTAGAACATTTTTTGCTTGTATTGGATCAAATTTCAGTATTTGCATTTTGTTTGCTTCTCTGCCCAGCCATGTTCAGTTTGCATTGAATTAGAGTTGATTGTTCTTTGTGCCCTAGTTAGCTATACGGCTGTACCTCAACAAAATGTTTCTTACATTGATTGCATGTTGGTCCTCATAACAAGGAAATTTTATGAGAAACAAGAAGTTACTTCTAAAAGAGTACTCAATAGTCACAATCTGTATTTCAAAAGATAGTCACTAGAGTTGGCTAAACGGCCAACCAACGATGGCATTAGACTTGATACTTGTCATGAGAACTTAATTAAAGTAACTAAAAAAAGGACGGCTAGATACTGTGAAATTACCAGCACTTGATACATTTATCTTGAGCCAGTTAGCATGTGTCAATGAGGGCCCTTGCTCAAGTAGAAACACAAAATACCAACAATCTATTGAGAGTTAATTTTATTCAAGTATGTAAAACTCCGAAATGACAACCTGCCATTTTATTGGTCGGTGTTATCGCGTATCTTTCAACGCCTAAGGAATTAACAATTGAATGCTGTGCAAATAAAGCAGAAAAGGTTCCCATGGAAAAAGCAAATTTCTATCAGAGCGGCTTATTGATCCATCTCTCCGTTCCGATCATCAGTTGAGTTGTTGTCACTTAAAGTTCTTTCTCCATCGCCATGGCTTTCCTGATTAGCAGAGGCAGGATTTCTAGCTCTTATGTCAGATATTGCATCTGCACCGTATCTCCCCTCTACCTCATCCTGTTCAATAACCAGTTCAATTTTGTATATTTAGCTTCCTCACAGTAAACAAACATGAACAAAAAAAAAAAAAAAAAAAAGGAGATGATAAGAAGCACATAAGGAAACCCCTCTCTGCTCAAATGAGACACGCAAGTCAAGTGGAACCTCCATAAAGAATACTTTTATATCAGTGGTTTCTCTACGGCAGTCTGATTTTCAATTATAAAGATCCTCATTAGTAGATTACCATTAAGGAATCATTTTCTTCACCGACTTCCTGACATTCCTCAGAAATCTGCAATATCTTATTCTTGAGCTTAGAATTCTCCCTCTTCAGCTTCTCCGCTATTTCTCGAAGCGACTCAATTTCTTCCTGTGAAGATAAGAAGAGATCCAAATTCCATACCATGAGAACAAGAACGATAATCAAGAAAAATGGAAAGGAAATCATCAACTAAAACAACTAGTCTTGGGCAGCAGTTTAAGTAAACATGTCCAAGTTTGTCTCTTATTATCCTACTGTAAGAGAAGTACCAGAGCGAAACCAGGAAATATAAGCAATCATGTCCCTATACTTGTTCAAGTGCTGACCATAAATTTCACTAATTCGCAATTGAATCAGCAAAGCGCCAAAGTCCAAAATACTATAGTATTATCAATTTTATCCCATTTTATATTCAAACTATCTCGTTCAAATTTAAGAAATGTTTAGGTTGTACCTGTTTGCGCAACTTTGCTCTTGCAGCTGATTCCCTTTTAGACTTCTTTTTCTTTTCTTTTTTCTCCTCAAGTTTTTCCTATTGGAGCAAGCGATCAAAAGAAAAATGGTAAAATTGTTTGCTTACAATGACGTATGCTAGTTGTTCAGATACCTAGGAACTGCAGAAAGGAACTTAAACGTGTTTAAAGAAGAAAGTTGAACAAGAACTGTAATATACATGTAAGAAGGTATATAGTTATAAGCTCCAAATGTGCTTACTTCTTACCTTTGTAATTATGGATTTAGTGCCATGTCGACTGAGGGTCGATCCCAGGTTCTTAGTTTCAACCGTGTTAGTCTCAGAGTCCCGTAATAGCATATCTGTATTTACGCCATGATCATTTAAAGTCTCACCACTTTGTGCAACAGCAGCTGTTAAAGCAGCAAAAGTCAACGATAGTTGAATTCAGGTACATAAATAAATAAGTGAAAGAGATCCAATACAAACCGTGTAAAGGAGTTGAGTCTAGTCTTTGCGGCTTAGCGGAAAAGTACTTTCTTTTATAGAACTTAGCAGAAGAGTCCTGCAGAAAGACCGATACTCATTATATTTGTTTCCCTTTTGCTCGATCTTGTGAAATATATATACAAGTCAGTTCCACACTTTTCTAGAGGGTCAACAAATTGTTTAATCCTAGATATCAGTTGGCTAACTATTGACATAAAATTAATTGGATTATATACTTGGTTCGCACGAGCAGTTTCAGCAACTGAGTCCTTAATCCCAGTTGAACCGCTGTTCGAAAAAATTTTCAGAACCGATTAGCAAAATCCAGTATAGACAAGGAAAAGGGTTAGAACATAGAAGACAAAAAAAAAAAAAAGTACCTTGGTGAAGTAACATCACCGGTATTTCTCAGCAAAATCAATATAGACAAGGAAAAGGGTTTAAAACATAAAAAAAAAAAAAAAAAAAAGTACCTTGGTGAAGTAACATCACCGGTATTTCTCAGTCTACTATCTCCAACAATCTCATTCCCCGAGCCTTCCTTGCATTTTTTCGCTGACTTCAAGTCCTTTTCGTATGCACCAATCAATATAAGCTAATTCTAGTTATTCATGAAAGAATATAATTTTTTGTCATAAAGATAGAAGGTTCAATTCTATTAGTTTCCACTAATTTAATCTTTGTATTTGAACCAAACCAATGAGATTAGGATATCCCATCTAGTGTTTGAACATAAATCAAAAGGTAAATGAGTGTAAACGATAACGACCAAATGAGTTTGATTTTCAACTAACATGAAGAGATCCATTGATCTGCTTCTGATCACATGGCGCAGGAGATCCACCTGGCGCCACTGCGTATGCTTGCATTAGCTGTTTCTGAAAAATCATCAAAGGAGAAGGCAGTTCAATTTTACCTTTGTCACAATATCAAGCAAGAAAATCAATGTACAAACTCACATATATTAAGGTAACAATCACCTGGTCTCCTGTCATCAGAGGATACAAATTTGAAGAAACAGCCGCACCCGATAGAAAAGTGGAAGGCTCAGCAGCCTTGAGACGATGAGAACCCTGTTAAAAAGGCCAAAAATTGCATCACTATTCAAATATAGATTATCTAACTATGAAGTATTAAACCAAAATACAAACAGATAACTTAACCCGGGGCAGTCGATGTAAAGATGTATTTGGAATGCAATAAAAGCAGATAAGTGAATGTAGAAATCCGAATAATCGAATATATTTGGGAGAGAACCTGAGTTAAGACACGCGATTTGAACGTGTTGGCAGGTGCAGTGGCTTTCCTGGCCGCCATTAGTCTGGAAGGATCATTAATTCTAGCTGCTTCTTGGGTCGCCATTTAGCTCAAATGGCATGTAAACTCAACCGGTCAGCCTTGGTTTCAAATTTTCTCAACCCCAATAACTATGACAAAAAAGAAATCCAATTAGATTTAAACATAAATGCACACACACTCACAAGCACACTCCCACGTATATATTTTTGTCCTTTCCAAAGGACCGTCTTACACTGTAACATATAGAAGTCATTGCAGTGAGAAAAACAACATGATATTTATGTTTTGTAACGACGACATAAAAAAGGTGTAATGTTGGTTTGAGATAGCTTGTTGTCTTTCTGCTAGTTTACTAATTCATCTCAAAAGCCTAAACTGTCAGGAGGTGGCTTAATAATAATTTTTATATTTCAACACTTTCCAACATCATTAATACACACAAAATAAATGTCATATTATACTTCTCTAAAATTGGCGCAAACACAGACATATATATCATACCTAGAAAATTGTGTTATAATTTACCAATGGTGGTCACCAATTTGAAACTACTTTATAACAAAAGAGAGATGGTCACAAATTGTTCCAACAAAAGAAGGGAAAAAAAAGTAGGGCACTAAGAACTCCCAATTTCTCTATCCGATATAACAAGGCCAAACGCTAACAACGTTAAACAAGAATTACACCAAGAATTGTTTTCAATTGGAACAATGCCAAAGTTTTCAAGAGAATTATAAAATACGGCTGTTATATTGCATATCAACCAAAAACAAAAAAAGAAAAACGTCATAGAAAATAGGATTTTGAGGCAAATTCGTATACAAAAAGAAAAGAAAACTTCTTTTCTTCGAACACACGAATAGAGAGTACAGTGTAGAGAATACTGAACAAATATCGAATTCGTGAAAGCAATGTTCAAAGAACAAAAGAAATCAAACAGATTGAAAGCCATAACTAAGAAAGCGCAGCAAATCAATGGCAAAAGTCGAGAGTTTGGAAGAAAATTTTTGAGAGAGAAGAGGAGAGAAAGACCTGTGTTTTGTGGCGCGAAAAAAAGAAAGTGGAGGTCGTCAGAAATTGAGGTGTCGTATAAGTAGGTTTCGTAAAGGGAAAAAAACAAAACAAAAAAATATATCTTAAAAATAAAAATAAAAGTTTGGAGTTTGGACCGTTAATTAAACGAATATAGGGCATACGACAGTAACGTACGAATCGTTTTAGTTAGAAACTACATAGACGCCTGAGATTGTCCTGGGAGGACTTCTGTTGTGAATTTTGCTCCGCATGATTTTTTCTAAGGGTGTTCACGGTCGGATTGTTTGAATTAGGAGTCAATTCGTAATTTAATTTATTATTACAGATTAAAAAATTTTAATTCGTTATTAATCCGTTAAACTTTCAATTCAATTCATCTGTAACAGATTCCGCAGATTAAATTATGCACATTCACTGTAACACTAACCTATATTTTAAACCTTGGCTCTTGTATTTAATTTCTTTGTTTAATACTCATAAAATTAATAACAAAATTAAACACAAACATAACATAAAATTAAAATAGTATTGAGATTCCCATGCATAATTATATATAGACTTAAATTATACATGTATTATATAATTAAAAAAAATCAGTTACATATATTATTTAAATATATATAGAAAAATATATATAATATATACAGTTCGGAGTGATGAATTATACAGATTAAGAAATATTCAATTCGCAATCCAATCCCTTATTACGGATTGGGAAAATCTCAAACCGTTACCAACTAAAATTCTTTCAATCCATCCAATCCATAATAATGGAGGATCGGATTGACGGATTCAATAACTACCTCTAATTTTTTTCTTTTTTTTCTTTTTCTTACTTATCTTGTAAATGTAAATTTCTTCGTCTTTTTTTTTCTTTTTTGACTTTTTGCCGTAAAAAAAACGTTTTCTTCATCTTAATTATACGAGTCAAATTCCAACCCACCAAGAAAAATTGTAAAAAAGTTTAAAATATGTTTTAAAATTTATTGGTTTCTATTTAGTTAATAAGAAGTGCACAAATGACATTTTATATCCAAAAAAGAGACTCAAGGTACTAACTAAATGATTTTAAAAAGTATTAATTCAAAATTATTAAAAATAAAGGTTACTAAAAAATAATTATGCTAAAATATAAGGTACACATATAAAAAAAAAAAAAAAAAAAAAAAAAAAAAAAAAAAAAAAAGGAAAAAAAAAAAAAAAAAAAAAAAAAAAAAAAAAAAAAAAAACTAGTTGGCAATAATTGGACAGGTAAACAAAGAATATGTCAACCATGGGTGGTTAAAAAGGGCTGAAAAAAGTATATAGTTTGTCGAAATTTTGTATAAGTTTATTATTTACGTCATTTTAAATAATTGAGTAATATTACGATCTTTTGTTTTCTTTTAATTAATTGAAAGACAATTGTTTATTTTTAAGTACAGTGATATAAATAATAGTTTTTACCATATTGAGTGGTATTCTAATCTTTTTCCAAAAGGGTTCAACCACAATTTCATTTTTTTTCATTTTCAATCTACTCACAAAGTACAGTTCCCTTTTTTTAGGGACCTTCTCCGGTGTGTCAACATACCGGTAAGTTATGTTTTTTATCAGTCAGATATGTATAAAATTACATAAAAGTCAAAAAATACGCAGATCTAATAATTAGAAAAACTTGACCTACTGATATATCAGACGTATTAGAGAATCTCTCAAAAGGGTTGCAAATCCAACGACTAGAAAAGTTTTGAAATTTTTTTTATTAATTGAATGATAATTGTTTATTTTTTGAGTTGATTGACGTAATTAATATGGTAACATTTTCCCAAAAGGGTTCAACCAAGATTTCATTTTTTTTTTTTTCATTTACATTTTACTCACAAAGCATAGTTCCTTTAAAAGAAAAAAGAAAAAAAAATAAGCTATATCCTCCATATTCAAAGTTTCAAACACACAAAATAATATCCTTTTGCTCAAGTCCAGACCAAACAAATTTTTTTTTTTTCAAGATGCGAACACAAATGTGTCTTAAACTATAAAAAACATATTTTTTTTTTCTGTCATAGTGTAATTTTCAAGAAAAAAAATACATATTTTCGTACACTGTCATCTCGATGTAGCTTACAGACGTAAAGTAGATTATTGGCCAGCTTAAAACCATATGAAATTATTAGCTAAAATAGTAGTAAAGTATGGATAACATATCATATGTTTTTGAGGTGCTAGGTAATATTTAATTTCAAATGCCAATAACAGATATGGAGACAAGTATCATGCTTCATGACATGCCTTTATGCTAATAAAATATGTTCCCTCACCACATGATATTTGGATTATGAATGTAGACACTGGATCTATCGAATCAGAATTAAACACGATAATTAAGTATTTGGTCATTGTTTGATCTTCACTAATCAAGCATTAATCAAATTAACAAAGCCAAGTGCATAATGGTAAATAAGCGGACTAAATTTGTAGTGATTGACTATAAAGTGAGAGCTACGCTCACTATTAGAGCCAGTTTCACGATGTTAATGTTGAGAGTAAAAAAAGTTTATGTAGTCATTAATTACAAGAGGTTGTGTGTAACAAGCGTGCATCACAAAGAGACTTCTCTTTTGACACATGGTATTATCTTTTTGTTTTTTTCCTTATTTTTTTCTAACATTTTGATGTTCTTTAATCTTTAAGTAACAAACATAAAATAGGTAAAAGAAAAGACTTTTGTTTGAAATGTGACATCACAAAGAGACTTCTCTTTTGACACATGGTATTATCTTTTTTTTTTTCCCTTATTTTTTTCTAACATTTTGATGATTTCTCACTCAAATTTTTCCTAAATATGACCTTATAAATATTTTTTTCCCTAATTGTGTTACTAAAATAAAATCTTCTCAAATGTGTTCATACCTAAATATTTTTTTCTTTATAACCCTCTCAAATGCTATTTTTTCATATGTACTCCACAAACAATTTACTCTCTAATACACTCCACTACAAACTTTATTTTTCTTTTAACTATACTCTACTTAAATTTTTTATTTTTATTTGTTTTTTTACTAAACTAAACTCTTACAGGAATACTAAGTCAATAAAAAAATAAAACTTTGAAGAAATTTTAGATCTATCATCAAAAAGAATATAACACATCAAATACATGAGGTAGTGCGTGCTTTCAATTAGTATAAGTAAAATTGTCTCAAAATGAATTAGCTTGCTCTGTTCAGTAGTGGGGAAGTGGGTGGTCCGAGAAGAGGACACATGTCCACATGCCTAGTCGTGTAAATTAGCACTTACCTCATGCTTGGTTCAACTATTTGAACTAAATAATTTAATTAGAATTGTGTCTAAAGGTTCAAATTAGTATTTATTTTAGAAATAAAATGGGGTCATTCAAACCACTAACCACAATTCAAGATGGTTAATTTTAGAATTCACAAATGCCCCTTAAATTCACAATCCGTATTTTTGTCAATAGTTCAAATACAATTATTTTTTTTATTATGTTTTCTCTCTCTTCAACTTTAAGTTTAAAAATGTGATAACTTTCTCATTTCAACTTCAATTGGATGTTTTTTTATGTGTTTATAAAAAAGAGAGAAACAAATTCTCATCCATATTACATATTTAAATATGTCATATACAATGAAGTTTTATGATATTTGTTGTAAAACTCTAATTATAGTATTCAACACTTTATCTAAATATAATTTGAATTTTATTTCCAATTCAAATCACAATTTATTTGTGTATCTAAACACCGATTCAAATCATCGTTCATTTCACTAATTCGAGTTTTCAATTTCAATTTTGCTACAGTTAAAAGCTCTCATAAAAAGTCACATCTAAGTTTTTTGCTACAGTGAAAAGCTCTCACATAAAATCACATCTCAACTCGAGTTAAAAACTCGAATCTGCGAATTAAACTGGCCTAAATCACCACAATTCAAATTATACAATTCAAACCAAATTACTAACCATTTGAACCAAGAACCATAGGAAACTCGAGAACGTGGTTGCAACTATCAAATCGTGTGGTTTCAGTAATCAAATACTGAATGCTTGATCAACACCCTCAGGAAAGGAATTAGATGATTATTACGAGTAAGAAGATATTATGATGTAACATGCCATAGAACGATTTTTCATGGAATTTTCAAATTGTTCTTAAAATCTCCAAGATCCTTCTTAGGTTGCTACGTAAAATAATTACCAAATAACTGGTTCTCACTTATTCGGAAAAGACTCTAAAAGATCAAGCGTTCTAAAACCTCACAGTTTTCCTTGTTATTTTCCTCTCATAAAATTCTCAAATTGTCCCTCCAATCTCTCTCGATTGTGGTTTACTTTTCTAAGCATTAAAGGCGAGAGCGCTGTAAACTTGGATGGAGGCCCAAAAAAATCCAAATGATAATAGACTACAATATATCTCTTTATAGCACAAAATAAACTGACTGGAGTATGCAATAATTTTAAACTGCCCTTCACGACTTCACATGTGAAACACGAAACATCATCTCCTAGAGAGGGATCATCACACATCGCCACCTCGTAATGTCACTTAATAATATTGCGACACATTAATCAGAATATTTTAATTAACTTAATTTTTTTTATTAATGTGGTATAAAATTTTAATTGACATAATATTTTAAATTACGTTTAAGGTATTATTAAAAGAATATGAGAGAGGATGAAAATAAACTGACACAGAAATTGAGCCCTCTAAAGCAAATTTGATTTTTCTTTTTATTGCCAAGGTTTTTTATTTTCTTGAGAAAAGATTTTTGTTGCTCCTGCTAAATCAGTAAGTTAACACACTTATTAATACCACTTTACCACTTTGGACGAAATTCAAGTGTCATTTTCATCACTTGTAATAAAATGATTTTAGGATTTCAAACAGGACAATTAATGATTTGCTAAGCAATTATTTTAGTCAAACTTCACCCTGACTACACAAAATCCGAGTACACATCATCCAACAACAAACAGCTAGTATTTTTTATTTAGTAACAAACAACTAGTACTTGGTGGAAGAGACAAAATGAAACACTCGTTAAGCCCGTTTAATTCACTGATTCAAGTTTTTAATTTGAATTGAGATATAATTTTATGTGAGAGCTTTTTATTATAGTAAAAAAGTTATATGTGATTATTTTTTAGAGTTTTTTACTGTAATAAACATCAATTTAAATTCAAATCGGTAAAATAAACGTAACTTAGTCTCGGATCTCTAAAAGAAATAAGCAGAAGATCTGTAGCTGGTGGTATCTATGACTATGCCAACCTGGCGGCTTAATTTGAAATTAGTTAATAAATCAGTCAATTTAGTGTAAATTTAAGACTCATATAATTTAATAATTTAAATTTTTAATTTAAATTAAAATATAATTTTATGTAAAATTTTTTTATTACAATAAAAAATTAAATATAATTATTTTTTAAAATTTTTTATTATAATAAATTTTAAATTTAAATTAATAAAATAAACGAGATTTTAGATTTACGGTGAATTGAAATCCTGAAAATACCCATGTATATAAAAATATTTTGAAAAGCCAAAATTTTTCCCTAAAATAAAAAATCCAAAATATTTCTCTCTCCTCGATACGGTTCTCTCTCTACTCCGTCTTCACTCTCTCTGTCTCTCACTCCCCCACCTCTCTCTCTCCCCATTCACGGCCAGCGAAACTACACGGATCTCCAACGCTGGCTTTCCTTGCACGACAGCGAAGACAAACTCATGAACTCTGTGGATGGTGTTCTCAGTCTGAAGGAGAGAGAGATGAGAGAGAAGGAGAGTACCGTGCACTACAAAGAGAGAATAGATAAGAGGAAAAAACAAGAAAGATAGCTTGAGGTAAAATCGGAAAGCAATTTACTTGAATTTGACCTATTAATTTGTAATAGTTCGTAAATGGCTTATTTACTTCGCATAATTTCATATGTTGGCGTATTTACTATAATTTCCTATAAAATTATAACGTATCTCAATTGAGAAGGGGAGATTCTGTTTTATAGGGTTCAGAGTATATGATAGTTTGTCTCTTTTTATGTGAGATAAGATATTTTAACTGTGTTTAGAGTTTATTTTATTTATGTTTTTCACGTTTTTTGAGAAATAGAAAGTAAAAATGAGAGAGAAATAACGTTTGACACAATTAAAGACATAAAATAAAAATAAAAATGATTTTTTAGTTTAGTGTATAATAAGAGAAAAATAAAAAATAATTTTTTATCATTTTTTATTTTTTATTTTCGTTTTCTCCTCTCTCGAGTAGAGAGAAAGACATTAATAAAAAAATTTTATATTGAAAATAATTTCTTGATAAAACTACAAAACGCATTTTTAAAAATAATTTCTGTTTAAGATGAAAAATGTTTTTATTTCTATTTTCATACAAAAAATAAAATTATTTTAAAATGAGTTCTAAACTCACAATTTATCTCTTTCTCATTTAGAATAAGAGGCTTATCAAGAAAGCACTTTTAGAATCAATTTATCATTCACTTGTTCACCATTTTAAGTATATTAATATATCATTTTGAATCTCCCATGCCAGAGAGTTCAAATCTAAATTGATCCCTCATTAATACTAAATGGTAATACTCAAAATCAAGCCTCAAAATGATACCTCAAAAAGAGTCACCAAATCCATTTTTCAACCGATATAAAACTCCAAATTTATATTTTTTTTTTTACTAAATACATAACACTAAATGATTTAAGAAAAAAATAAAATAATGTCCACATTATTGCATTACTTGAGAAGAGTAATTCCTCCAAACCTTAGGACAAAAATGAGTGCTAAAAGAGAGGAATGTAAAATGAAAGGTTAAAATTTCTCTGTTATAATGAAACTAATACCATGTGTTTATAATAATATTAAAATAGTACTTTCACTTTTAAAAAAAAGTTTTTTTAATACCCTAAGATTGATTTTTAAGATGTACAAAATTTAAATTGCCATTCTTACTAATTAAATATAAACTAATACTTTTTTTAAAAAAATTCTAAAAATATTTTAAAAAATATAAAATTAAAAATTAGATTAAATTAAAATATTTTTAAAAAATACTTTAAAATTAATAATTTTGGCGGTTTAAACATTGTGCATCATTAGTCTAAGGATGTAAACAAAACGTTATTTAAACTAAATGTACGGTTTTATTGTTATTTCGTTAACATAAGCTAGCAAAATGATTTTATTCCTAAATAAAATAAAATAAAATAAAATAAAATAAAATTCTTTAAAAGCATTAAAGCAAGGCAGTCAAAAGAGTCACAACAGAGACAGGATTTCTTTCCCATGTTTCACTTTATCTAAAATTCCAGGATTTTATCACTTCTTTTTCTGTCATTTATTCTCTCTTTCTTCATTTAGCATGAAAAAGGACAGTAACTTCTGTTCTTCGCCAGCTTTCATTTTTGTCAGAAACAAACATTGAAAGAAGAAGAGAACCAAAACCAACGTGTGGGTTTCTTTCTTCTTCTTTTTTTTTTTTTCTCTTTCATTCAGGCGCTGCCCAAAGAAAAAAAAAAACCAGCAAAGACTCCATTTTCAAGCGCTCTTTGAGCTCTGAAAATGGCTGCTTTGCCTCTGGGTGGCTGCATTTTCTTCATTCTGTGATGGGTCTCAATTGCCATTCTCCAAAAAGGTAAGTGAGCTTCAATGCTCTTTCATTTTTCTCTAATGGGTTTGGATTGTTTTCTCAAGTGTTGGTTTCCTAGATTTGTTTTACTTTTGTTTCCCTACGAAAGATCACCAAGCACTTATTTAGTCGCTCTCTCTCTTTTTTTTTTGGGTTGTTTAGTAAATCTGGTATCTTCGGCTCTAAAAGATTTTTGTCTTCGTCATAATGGTTTGATATTGCTTTTTTACTATGGAAATGTAGCTTACCCACTTACTGGATTTCATAACTTTAGGCTTTAGCCATCATTTTAGATTTTACCTCTCTCTCTCTCTCTCTCTCTCTCTCTCTGGAACTTGTACATTTCTTCGTTTCACTATTGTTTTTTCTTTACGAGTTAAAAAAGAAAAAAAAAATAGAATGCTTGGAAATGGAGGCAGATTTGGGCCTAATTGTGAGTCATGAAATTATCTAAATCTGATTAAGAGCTTATTATCACTATTTTCCGGGATTTAACTTAAGGATGGCCTATTCGGAATGGTTGACTGGCGGTTTTATGAAATGGGATTAGTAGAGTGGATTGCAAGTGGGGAACAAATATATCAAGTTATTTATGAAGGCTTCAGATTGGCTAGTAAAATGAAGAATTGTTTTTGAAATAGTATGTTTTTTTTATAGATGTGATCCTTTAGAAGCTTCTTTGTTTATACAGATCATAATTGAAATTCTTGTTCTTCTATTGGTAGGTCACTGGTTTGGGTTATTGACCTTGAACGTTTATTTTATGGTATTTGGTTCATACTCTGTGATTGGTAAGAAACTTGATATCGGTATCCCAACAAGTTTCAATGAGAATGTCTACTTTGTGAAAAACAGAAGTTTCAATTAAGGGTTTACAGTTTTTGTTAGATAAGATGCATGGAACAATGAAACATATCAGACTGTGCGTGTGCAAACCGTCGTGAATTTTATGTATGGCCAATGTTGCATAGCAGTTCAGTTACTAGAAAACTAAAATATAACTGTATAAATGCTGATGTTTTACTGATCACAACTCTTAGTTGAGTTGAAGGAAAAATACATAACTAAGATACATTACTTCTAGTATTTTGTATAATTATGACGCTTGGACTTTTATGCATACTTAAGCTTCTAGAAGACGTTTAAAATTAAGGGAGGGGTGTTCTTTTTGTCCCAAAATATCCGGTATCATGGGACAAAGATATATCCAATGCAACTTCCAGGGAATGGCAGAAGCACTAATTTTTGTCAAAATATTACAGGACATGATATAGAAATGGCAAATTGATGGATCAATTGACTTACTAACAGAACCAAAATCATTGTGCTTCTTGTTTGTACTAATTGTATGAAAGGTTTCTCATCACTGTTTTTCATATTCTGTCATATTAGCAGGTTGGAACTAGGTACTCATTGATTCCTGGTTTCACTTTCAGCATGAAATCAGGATCGAAGAATGGTTGGCACTCTATTGTCCCTCTTTGTCTGAGAGGCAAAACGGCTGCCCATTTTTGCATGTTTCCGAGAGTAAAGTCAGCAGGCTATGGTCCAGGAAATGCACCTGTCTATCTAAATGTATATGACTTGACACCTATAAATGGCTATGTCTACTGGGCAGGCATTGGTATCTTTCATTCTGGGGTGGAAGGTTGGCTTGTAAATCTTCTCTGTACATATTTCTTGACATGGATGTCAAAAAGTACATTTCTAATATAACCATTTCTCTAAAATTGTACATATTAGCACTACACCATGGTTCTCTAGGGGGAGAGAAAAAAGACTTTACCATCGGTAGTTTGCCTTTCCTCCGTTTTCCCAATGATGAATTTTGGTGCTTGCACTTGCTTGCGTGTATTTCTAAGCTTGGAAACATGAGTCAATGAATGATATGCATCTCTTTTTGACAAAATGAGGTCATGAATAAATTATTCACATTACCTGCTGAAAAAAAACACTTAGCAAATGACTTCTTATATTCCGGTTTGTGCTTACAGTTCACGGTGTGGAATATGCTTTTGGAGCCCATGACTACTCGACAAGTGGCGTCTTCGAAGTTGACCCTCGTCAATGTCCTGGTTTCAAGTTTAGAAAGTCAATCTTTATGGGCACAACATGCCTGGATCCTTTCCAGGTTAGGGAGTTTATGGAACGCCAATCTGCAAACTACAGTGGTGATACATATCACTTGATTGTCAAGAACTGTAACCATTTCTGTGCGGATATCTGTTACAAGTTGACGGGAAACCGGGTACCCAAATGGGTAAATCGACTTGCAAGAATAGGTAAGTGACATGTTTCTTCCACACCCTTTTGTTGGTTTGACTTGCATGAAATATGAATTGCTCTTCTATGTGTCTAGCATTTTCAGCTCCAAAATGCTTCTCGTTTTGGCTGTGGTCAACAATAAGGCGCCCAAAAATTTATGTTTAGTTTTATATTTTCATGCTAAATTTCGTCCGCTCCCATATCCTCCTTAACATTCACCAAGGGTTACTCTTTAATAACATTTCTGTTTCCCATTAATCTTTTTGCTATTTTATTCTACAAAGATCATATTTGGCTTACTCAAGGACCATTTTATTAGACCATGGGGTGTCTAATGCACAATGAGACAACCTTCCGTAAGTTTGATCCTTCTCAAAAAACGGCTACATTTTTCTTTGAGGGGTTGAACGGAGTTGGATGCCTACTGATTTGCTTATTGACTACACTCGTGCCTTGAAAGATCCTCTGTATGTTAAAATAACTCATTCTTCTTTCACATTTTCTGTCTTTCTTTTAGGTTCCTTCTGCAACTGCATACTCCCACAGGCTCTCAAGGCTTCCACGGTGCGACACGACCCCAATTCCCAAGGATACGACAATGAGAAGAAGAGGCTAAGAAGTGCCTTCAGTTGCTTGTCATCAATCTCAATGAACCAGAAAGAAGTATCAATGTCATCCTTGTTTCTACATTCGCACTGTAAGGGCTGCTTACCGCCATGGGAGCTGAAACGGTCTAGAAATCGCTCCTTGAGGGAAGGGTGAGAACCTTGCTTATCCCATCATCGCTTTCTCGGCCAAAAGAGCATCAAACCTCGTTTTTCCGCAACATCTGGCCGTTGGGGAATGTCACTTTCGTATTCCATGAGTCTCTAGGATGAAAAATCATGTGTTGTTGTTTTGACTGTAAAAACCATGAAACTTTTTCATCCATGCTAACAGGTTTGGGAAGGTTGTTTGTTGTCTCTGTATGATTGTAATGTGAATGTTTGATGTTATTGTATTGTTTCTTCCTTTTGCTGTGAAGAAATGCATCTCGTTAGTCGTTAAAGACGTGAAGGAAAGAGAGCAAGCAGCCAAGCACTAGGAAAATGAAGCCCAAAAACATAAAATAGAAAAGAACAATAAAAAAATAAAAAATAAAAAATAAAAACCCAAACTGCAACCAAAGAAGAGAAGAAAAAATGTCCAGGAGTTTGCCATATCTCATACCTTTGAGTTAGTAATATAGCCGTTTATGAGTTAACATAGTGGTTGTTTTGTCTTTTTTCTTATCGGTGAATCTTCTAAATATTATACCATTTTCCTTTCTTTTTTTTTTGAACTTTGTATTAGGATATTTGACATATTTATCCACTATACTTTTTTCACAATAGGCCCTTGTTAATTTTACTTCGCATGATAAGAAAAGAAAGAGTTAGGAGAGTTCCTTTCCCGTCTTACTAGGCGTTTCCATACGATATGGGTAAATATAAATCCTTACATATACCTTGATAGTAGTGATTCCTTATCAAATGAAATGAATGTGAAGTTTATTTAATCTAAGAATTATTTAATTATATAATATGATATTTTAAGTAATTTATCAATAGAATTACTATTTCTAAATTTAATAAACACTAAAATGAGAATTAGATTGTTTCTTATTACACTAATAAACAAGTACTAGAAAAAAGAAAAATCATTAGTATCCACCTTCTTATTTTCTTTCGTAATCTCATTATCTTCCCGTAACATTTTTAGGTAAACAAGTGTTTTCTTTCGTAATCTCATTACTTTCTCATAATATTTTTGGGTAAACACATTTTTAAAACCTTTTAATTTTTTTTTTCTTATTATTAGTGTCATTTCGTCATTTATCTCTTCGAATATAAAAAAAAAAAAAATTCTTTAATTTAATTATTATTAGTGTCATTTCGTCTTTATCTCTTCGAATATAAAAAAAAAAAAAAAAAAAAAAAAAAAAAACCTCTTTAACTCAATTCTACTTAAAAGATGGACTCGGTTTTCATACCACGGGGTCTTAAAATGGGGCCGTGGCCGACCTGGGCGCATCCGGGGAGTTGAAAAGAAAAGACATTCTTACCGTTATACTAACTCGCCCTTTTTTTCTTTTTTCTTTTTTCTTTTTTTTTTTCAATATTCTCTTCTAAATAAGGAGTCAAAACGGAATTTCTCCCCATCCCTCTTCTTTCCGGTAACAGTTAAAAAGAGTCAACCACCGACACACGATCGTTTCAACCTTTTTTTTTTTTCCCTTTTTTTCTACTCCTTAAACATGCCAGCGATAATCAATGCCCAGACAGCCAGATAAAGCCCACGACTAAAGTCAACCTCCAATTCTCTCACAATCTCATCAGCTGAGAAGAGAAGTTCTTCCTTCCAATTTCCAAACCATTAATGGGTAAAGGATGCGGATGTTTCCCAAGCAAAAAGCGACCGCCAGTTGTCGTTTCCGATCACCAACAACGTCTCCCAAACCCACAAACGACAAACCACGCACAACAACAACAACAAGAGCAAAAACGACAACAACAACAGCCGAGAAAGGTGAAGATTTTCATCGTCTTCTACTCCATGTACGGGCACGTGGAAATCCTTGCGAGAAGAGTGAAGACGGGCGTGGATTCCGTCGACGGCGTCGAGGGGCTTCTCTACAGAGTCTCCGAGACGCTTCCCGTGGAGATCTTGGACCAGATGAGGGTCCCACGCGGTAAAAACGCCGACGTGCCGGAGATTTCGCCGGAGGAGTTGGCGGAGGCCGATGGGATTCTGTTCGGGTTCCCGACGAGGTACGGGGTAATGGCGGCGCAGATGAAGGCCTTCTTCGATTCCACGACGGACCTCTGGCGGCTCCAGAGGCTCGCCGGCGTCCCCGCCGGGTTCTTCGTCAGCACCGGCACGCAGGGCGGTGGCCAGGAGACCACGGCGTAAGTCAATCAATCTCTTTCTTTCACTTTGCTTGCACACGCTATTTTTTCTTTTTCTTTTTTACTGTTTTTAGTTCTATAATTATTTTTAATTTATTAAAAAAAAATACTCTAACAATTACGAACCATGATCCAAATTATAACACAAATCCTTACTCTAAATTTAATAATTAAAATTGTTATTTTTATAAAATAACACGCGCATTTAGAAGTAGTTCTAAAACGTTTTTCACATTTTTTAAGGAGAAAAAAATAAAAATGAGTAAAAAATTACGTTTGGAGCAACCAAAAACAAAAAAACATAAAGCAAAATGTAGGGATTGATTTCTCCTAAAATTGGAGAGTCTGAAATTTTTATCGTTTTCATTTTCTTATTTTTATTTTCTCAGATTCATCTTTTCATCTAATCCCAAACTCAGTCTCCGATATTGCTTACATCAGTAGCGTCTCTCATAGAAGATATTTATATATTATATTAATTAATAGTATAACTTATTTGGGATTATATTAATTATTTAATATATTATTTAAAATACTATTATATATTTTTTAAAATGTATAATCAAACGGAGTTTTAATTTTTTCTTATATCAAAAATAATTTCTTAATAAATTTACTAAATACATTCTCAGAAATAATTTCTATCTGAGATTGAAAATTTTTTTATTTCTATTTTCATACAAAAAACATAGCATTTTAGAACGAGTTCTAAACGCGCCTAACAGTTCTTACACTAAAAATTCCTCATTAATTAATAATTCTAAGCGTAATATTCACAAAAAAATAAATTTATGCGTAAATAATCTAAGACTATCTTTAATGTAAATACTGATGCCAATTATATATTTGACATCAAAATGTATAAATGTTATTTTTATTTTTATTTTAATGTATAATGCTCTTTGAAATGTTAAATTTATTTTTTCTTATAATCATTATTAACCTTTAAAAGTTACAGAAGTAAATTTTCCCTTTTAAAATAATTAAAAAATAAAAAAGTAAACATTTCAACCATAATCAAATGCCAAATGTTCCATATGTTATAGTTAGTGGGAAATTTACCATAAGGTATAGTATAAAAAAAAAATTTAGCACAATAAATAGTATTATATTGGAAAGTATTTTTTGTATTTAAATGTTAAATTTTCAATTAACACATCAATTATAACATTGTATTAGAGATGTTCTAATAAATATTCTTAGCTAGTATTAGTGGAAATGCAATGTTATGTTAAAAACCTTAATTTTTGACAAAATTTAGTTAAACTTAAAACTAAAAAGAAAAGAGATCTCAGTATACCTTAATTAACTTTGACTAATTTCATTAATCTCCTGGTTAAAAAGGTATTTTGCACCTTAAATTAGATCAAATATTGTCCAAAAGTAAATTCTTGACATAACAGTAAAAAGGGTGGTTCTATATGCACTCTCCGATCTACTCTCCACACCTCTTTTAAATTAAAATTTTCTAATTACAAAAACACCTTAAATAAATGACCAAAAAAAAAAACAATAAATTTAATTATATAATTAAATTTTATTACTAAAGAGAAACTAATGATAGAGGGTCTTTTTTCTCTCCACACCCTCCAATATCATATTGGCAGATCATAAATTATTTCTATTTTAAAAATCTATAGGAAAACCCTAATTTCTAGGTTTTAATCACAATTTTAAAAAATTACATAGAGGTATGTTAAATTTTCATGCTATTGTTTTTCCTTAAATTATATGGAAGTATTTGTCTATTCTTTAGAAAGAGAGGATTTGTTTGTTACAAGACAATTCAAAGTGATTTTGTGCAAATATGTTTAATTTGACAAATAGAAGCCGCTCCAAGAGAAGTATTCAATTTTCCCAAGTACTCCGAGATGTAATAGTAAATTTTTCATGCATAAAATGGTTCCTTTTTTTTCTTTTTTTTTAAATAAAGAAATATAAACAACAATAGAAGGGGGCGCGAAGAATAAAAAGGTGGGTGTATAAAGAAAAGAGAGGGCTATAAATAAAACTATTCTTAATAATTTTATTAAAATAGTTAGGGATAATTTTGAAATAATAACCTCGTTCACTTCGCGGATTCGAGTTGAGATGTGACATTTTTTTAGAGCTTTTCACTGTAGCAAAAAAAGTTAAATGTGACATTTTCTGAGAGTTTTTTACTGTAAAAACTTAAAACTGAAAACTCAAATCAGTGAAATAAATGAGGCCTAAGAGTGTAAAAAAAATTTAACTATTTTAAAATTACGTGAGGTGTATAGTTAAAAAGAATGTGTAGAGAATAAAAAATGGTGCATATAGTACCACCTTAGTAAAAAAACATGAGGATAATCATGACATTTATGAAACTATAGCACAAGTTTAGCTTTTCTAATTCAAAAGTTAGACAAGCCGCATCCATCACTTGTTTTGTTGGAGACCTTCTTGCTTACTATTAACGAAGATCGGCTGAAAAAAAACAAAAGGAAAAAAGAAATTATTGTGCTAGTTCTTTTTTTGTTTTTTTTTCTAGTCTTCATAAATTGATTGATACTTTTGTGTTTAATTAATTGCATTAGGGGTACTATAATTCAGTTGTTATCGGGTACTTTAAGACTATTTTTGAGATTATAAAAAATATCATTTGTCTTTTCAGCCTAAAACATAATTAAAGAGGACAAAATGAGGGAAAAAGAAAAGAAAAGAAACCTGGAATATGAGGCTGGATTTTTTGTTTTGTTTTTGTTTTTTTTGTTTTTAAATTTGATTTGGAGTTTCACAGGCCTCATGGAGTATTCTCGTGGAGTATTTTGTATATTTTTTGTTGTATTTCTTGGTGATTAGTAGGTGCAAAAATGAAGGAGTCCATATGAGTTACTAATGTCTCGTTCATTTCACCGATTCGAGTTTTCAGTTTTAGGTTTTTACAGTAAAAAGTTATCAGAAAATGTCACATTTAACTTTTTCTGTTACAGTAAAAAGCTCTCAAAAAATATCACATCTCAACTCGAATTAAAAATTCTAATTCGCAAAGTGAATGAGGCTTAAACTTACCAACTATGTGAAGCTTTTGATAAGATCATCATCATTCTTAAGAAAGATTGTGGGGTTTCTCTAACAAAACAGAAATCTTACTCGACTCACACAACTCACAAATTAGCGAGTCATCATAGGGCCACATGTTTTCCAGTCTCTACTTGGGCATTAGATTCCAGAATAGAGGTCTGGAATAATGGTGTGCGGGGTATAGATTAACTTATCTTTATTTAGACAGTTGATTAGACTTGTATTCTACTTTTGATGCGTGTGGGACCTACCCGCACAAAACCCCGTCCCACGTCCTCTATGTTTAATGGTGGAGTCCGAACCGTCGCAAAACCTACACCTACTCTTTAAAGTCCGAACATTCGGAAACTATTGCCTCTTATCTTTTTTTTAGATAATCTTGAATGTAAATATTAATATTAATATTATATTTGATTAAAAAAAGTGTAAAATGATAATTTCATTTATAATGTTATATAAAATTTTTTTCATTAATCTTAAGCTTTGAATTATAAAAAGAAACGTTTTAACTTTAAAAAAAGTTAAAAATGACAGTGCTGTAATTATTTAGTGAAAAGGTCCACATTAACCAACAAACAACTAAATGCTATGATTTAATATAGCAATGTGTCAGATTTATCCTGAATTTTATATTGGAGATGCTCATATTCTACCATGACAATAGTTTAGTCCGAGTATGCTTTATTTACTGTCCTTCTCCTTCTCCTTCTCTTATTTGCGACTGTAGTTATGAATTGTGATCGTCATAGTAGCATTTATTTTTCCCTTTTTTGTTTCATAAGAATTGCCTCTGTAATAAATCTTCACCCCAAGAGTAATGGTGGGACATATTTGTATCAGTTGGACAGCAATTACTCAGTTGGCACACCATGGCATGATCTATGTTCCTATTGGCTACACCTTTGGTGCTGGAATGTTCAAAATGGACTCCATTAGAGGAGGCTCTCCCTATGGTGCTGGAGTCTTCTCCGGCGACGGCACGAGGGAGCCAAGTGAAACTGAGCTGGCTCTAGCAGAGCATCAAGGCAAATACATGGCTGCATTAGTCAAGAGGTTTTCGGGATCTCCTTAGCATGTACACAAGGTCAAGAACTCAACTATTGTTCATAGATCCACATTCTCGTGCATTTTTGTTTTCTTCCAGAATTCTCTTTTTCTCGAGTCTCTTCCTCAGATGTTGTTCAATAGATTTTAGATAGCTTTGGAGAGAGCCATGAAAGTTTCATACTTTATTTTAAGGCTTGAATATAATACTTCTTCTCATTTATTCTTATTCCTTTTGATTTCATTTGTTTGAAATGTATTAGTTGTATATGTGTGAAACATTTTTTCAGTTCAATTTTAAGATTGTTTCACTTGACATCAACAAGATCTAGACCGCCTTCATTTTAGAACAGGCATTCTTGTTCCTTTTTTCTGATTCCTTTTCCCCAAATATCTAGTGGAATCTTCTGCTAAGGCTGATTCCTCCCAAACTAATTTCAATTTTAATACTCTGCAACCTTATAAATGGTAACGTGTGGGTGTACACATGACCTACTTCACACTTCACGTTACAATTCACAGAAAAATTACAAGATTTATGTTTAGCATCAAGTCTTTGGCAAAAACCGCGGTTCTTTAAAGTAAGAGTTGTAACATGACATTAGTTTATTTTACAATGACTTCATTGCAAACCACAATATTACATCTTTTACGGTCATTGTAGTATAAAATATACAGCTAAACAATATCATGTTACACCCCATTTCATGGTCGTGTTTCATGCTCAAGCAAAGATAGAGCACTATTTCATGGCTTTCGATTATTCAAAAATTTTCCCTATTTGATTTTTGCTAACATTTTGGGAGAATAATAATTTTTAACATTCTCCCTAATTTCTGAGCAGGAATTCTAGTATTACTGATGCACAAATATTGTCAGGAGAACATGCAGGTTGTAGTATACAATACAGACACAAGTCACCTTATCAACATGGCGGCGAGAAATAAGTTCTTACCTCTGAAAGATAACAGAAATGAGTACACAAGGTAACGTTACTAAATTCCAAGTCCAGCACCTTCCAATGATTGATATTAAACAACAAAAAGTTATGAAGTTTCTGAGCATATCACAAGCATGCCACAAAGTTCTAGAAGCATGTAGATGCACCTTACGGCAGGTGGGCCTTGCCTGATTATGAAGCACTAGCGTCTTGACAGGGCGATGGCCACATTGGAAAGAAGCCTTGTGACCAAAATGTACAGGCCTTGAATCTTCAACCAAAGGATATGGCGCTCAAACAAATAACATTAATGCATGCACCGGGCAAAGAAGGTCTGCCCCACATAACCGCCAGCCATTGCCCTCCTCACGTTGGTTTCGAACAACTTTGGGTTGTCTCTTAAAACGGCAGCAGCATCATGATTGAGGGGATCTTCATAATTGGGTTGCTGCAAACAAGGAAACAAGGTGTGATTGAAAGAGTCAAGACAAAGGAATCGCTTACGAAAGGATGATCAATACCGTAAAAAGATGAAACAGTCCATATATTATGGTGTTTATATTCAAAACAGGCTTCCAATCTTCTCTTAGAATGTTGAGACAGACATTTCCTTCCAAATCAATATTAGGATGGTACACCTGCAAGATGGAAATGAGATTAATGCTAAATCACTACTGCATACATCAAGCAATCCTGTTAACAAAAGGAGGACAGCCATGTGCTATTTACCTTCGTCTTGCACTTGACCTTTGGTGCCTCGTGAGGGTAAACAGAAGGAACTTGGAAGGAGTACAAAAATGAACCACCCCTATAGCAAAAACAACCGAGTTTAGCGCTTGAAACAACTAAAGTCCCACCCCAACCCCATAAAAAGAATGGAAGTGGCAAGACCAACTAGCATCTCACATCTCATAACCTAGAATAGACGTCGCTTTAAATAAATGAGTATAGAAGAGGGAAAAGATCTAGCAGTTTATGGAGTCATCTGAATATCTCAAACCCATGCATGAAGATCTCAGGTGACAACTCTTGATTTTCATGCAGTAAGAGATAACCACCTCTACTTAAATTCAGAAAGCGCCAAGGCAATGCCACCTGTGTACACAGGTTGTACACATTGAGTAAACAATAAAGCCAAAATAATCAAGAGAGGAATTTAGAGCGAGTAATGTTCAGTGCTCACTCAAACAGCAAAAGATACATAAACGTGAAGGAGTTGCCTTTCGTGCCATGCTATTTTATGTGTTTAGTCATGCCACGATTACAACACTGCACAGACTGTTCTTGCATCAACTAACTGACTCTAAAAATCGAAATACGTAATAGACGTAACCTCAGAGCAACAGGCTGTGCACAAAGAAATGAATGCTCCAACAGAGTTTTTGCACAAATAGTATCAGCCTACCAGAATAATTCCTATTGATTTATAATGCTTCCTACACAGAATTTCCCCTTCCTTTTAAAGATTGTATATTTTATCCTTTTGTTCTCTACAAACTGTACAAAACCAAAGCTTAGCTGAGTGTGGTTTACAGGTAGGATCTCATTCCACGGGAGAAAGGAGGTGGATGCTTTTCGTCCTTCCCTACAGTACTAGACACTTATATTGAGCATAAACTAGCCATTTAGGTGCAGAACGTAATGCCATAACATACTAAAACGACATAAAGGCTTGAGCAAAAATTACTCACACATAATATCCTTCATCAGGCCGGATTGTAACCTCAAAATTCATCAAATCATCCTTGCCATTGGGGAACGATATAGTACATGTTTTTGGTAGGTTCAGCTCGCTGATATCTACAAGTAAAAGGTAGAGAAATAAGAACACAAGTGTATTAAACTTTGGCAATGAAAATTTGGTAATGCAAGTAATTATATTGTGAATATGTGAGTGTATGCATATACATTAAATCTAGCCTAGAGTCGTAGACAAAAGCTACTTTATTTGCACGAGGCTGCTTCTCTTAAGAATCAGTCCTTGCATTTGCACTTGAAAACAGAAAGTTTCAAAATCGCACCACAAAATAGATACAAGCTAGTATTCATGTTTAATAATAATGACAATATTATACCATAATTTTCCACTACGGCCATTTTGAAAACCTCAAGATTATTACAATTAATAAATAGGTTTACGCCACAATTGTTGAAGGTTGCTATTAAACCAACCACTGAATGGTGCTTGTCTATTAAGAGGAGATTAGATGAGTTTTCTTCACATGTTTTTTTCCTTCTTTTATTAGTTCAGACAAAAATTCTCCGTCAGTTAAAGTGAGAACACAATCATGTCTCCTTAATAGCCTGTTGGCGGCCCATATCAGTAATATCAAACAACACAAGTTAGAAATGAGAAAAGCTAATTCATCCTTGATCGTCACCTGCTCTCGTCCACAACCTCAAGGACGAGGTTGGCCAAACATGAAAAGAAGCATCCATGGCAACAATTTTCTGACGATTTTGGGAAGTGAATAAAAATGTGGCAACATTACAGTCTCGGCATACCTTTGTGAAGACGCAATTCTCCAGCAGTTTTCTTCTTGACAGGTGGCTTTCCATTTGCATTTTCTGCAATCTCTCTCTGCTTTTCCTTCACTTTGAATAGCTTAATCATTTTTCCTACAACAGAACATCAAAAGATTAGCATAAAGGTCATCCCAATAACACCCATAACCAAGAAAAATAAATATGCAGGAGTAGGACACTGAACTAAATAAAACAAAAAGGTCCAAACATGATACAAAAAACAAAAAAAAAATCCAAAAAATCATTTCAAATCTACAATACACTAGGTGAGAGTTGTAGTCCAGGGAGCTTTTCGCTGTATTCGGTAAGAGGGAAAGAAGATACAAAGGAAAGCAAGGAACATAATCTATGCGAGGAAAATTAAGACGAAGGGTAAGATTTTTCTGTTGTATTTGATATGAATTCCCTCTAACCTCTCCATATAGGGGACACTAAAATTGGATTTCTTTGAAGGATTTGAATTCCCTCGCGCAATCCATTCTCTACACTTTTCTCTCCTACCAAACAACCATGGGCCCAAAATCTTTCCATTAACCCCCTTTCCCTTCCTTCAAATTTTCCCTCCTACCAAACAAGCCCCAAGTCTCTATTACTCTTTCCAAATGGGTCAGAAACTAAAAAGATAACATTTATGATATCTCCTTTCCTACTAAAAGACAATCCACACATAAATTTCACGTAAAAGGCCTTCAAATCTAACAAGAATACAAGATGATTTGCTAATCCATCGATTTATAGATAAATATAACAAAAAAAAAAAGAAAGCAAAAATGGTTTGCACAAGCACAACCTACGAAAATGGAGCCATAGCTAATACGACAATATCTGATAAGTCTACAAAAATCTATAGAGCTTCATTAGTTATTGACGCTTTCACTGACAACACACAAATCGCAATACATAAACATGCATAACGAAAACAACCTCTGAAAGGGAAAAAAAAAATTCAAATCATCAAACAAAAAAAATAAAAATAAAAATGAAAAAGCTCTTAGAAATCAAAATATGCGATTTGTTCAAGTCAAATTACATGATCATCGAAACCATTGATACTTACACCAATGTACATAACAGCACATATATAGAAACACATATTGAATCTGTAAAGCGCAAAAACCTGGATTATGATTCAATACAGAAGTTTGAGCACACGAAAAACCAATTCGAGACGAAAATCGCCACGATCTCGTATCCGTGATGTGAGAGAAAGAGAGAGAGAGTACCTGGTGCTTATATGAAGTACAGGGGCTTTTGGCTTTTTGCTTTTTGCACAGAGAGAGAGAGAGAAGAAAGAGATAGAGATGGCTAAGAAGGAATCTGAAAGCGTGTGACTGTGTACTTTTTTGCTCTCTTTATTTTTTTTCTCTGGTTTTAATTGTAAATACATTTAGTTAGAGGATTTAAATTATGTGATTTGAATTATTTTTTATTTACGTAAATTTTTTATGAGAAAAATATTATAACGAATCATGAATCGTGATTTGAATCAAGGAACGAATCCCTTAATTAAACATCTAAGTACACTACATTTTTATTATTTTTTAAATATGTTCTTAGTCTAATTTCGACCGTTAAAACATAAAAGAGCTGTCAAAATTTTTCTAAGAATTTGTGTAAAGCAAAAAAAAAAAAGTACCTAGATTTTAACCATTAAATTGTTGAAATCCTATAAAATGAAAAAAAAATGACAATTTAATAGATTTAATAGAAATTTTACAATTAAAGCTAATTTTCTACTGATATATTAGTTTTTCGTACTCAACGAAAAAATTCTCTATTTTTTCAGCAAAAAAAAAAAGGAAAAATTCTCTACTTTTTAATGGTCACTGAATTTATTCAACGGCGAACATTGTTTTTTTCTATTATCTAGACTAACATGTGTACCGTATACAACATACATACCTTGGCAGTTGTTATGTAATTTTTTTATTATTATTTTTAGGTCATGCTTTCTAATAAGTAACATGTCACTCTCTGTACAGCGTCAACATGTATATATCGTCGTGTCAATCCACTGGCCACCAACGCCAGGCTTTCAAACAGGAAGGTGACTTTTAATCTCCTACAACGCTTTTATTATACTCCATGAAATCAGTTACTCAATTGTGTCGCGCAGACAACCTTTGAAGAAATAGATAGTTAAAAGGCTCTGTTTATTTCGTTAATTTGAGTTTAGAATTTGAGTTTTTTTACAGTAAAAAGCTCTCATAAATAATCACATTTAACTTTTTTATTACAGTAAAAAACTCTCACATAAAATCACATCTCAACTCAAATTCTAAACTCGAATCAGCGAAGTGAACGGGGCCTTTAAGTGATTGAGCGATGGGTATTTTTGTCACTTCAATTGTTAAGGGCATGTTCTTTTGTCCAAAAAATTCAAAAAAAGACAACTCAAGTTTCAACTTTATTTAAATTTATGTTCTTTTAAGTTTCAACTTTATTCAATTTTACTTAACTTTATTCAAACTCTAACTTCAACTCAAGTTATAACTTAAATTCAACTAAAAAATTACACTCAAATTATACTAAAAAAGAACAACCCTTAAAATTCGGAACTTTAAGCTGCATGGACACGTGTGGCGTAGTAGCTACACGTCCATGTCCATGGGAAGAAATATATACTGCAATCAGAGGATTAGGCAGTCTCGACGTCGAGGTGACCTGGTGATGTAGCGTACTTTGTCGTATATTCTACAGTTTTTACTTTATTTATTTATTTATTTATTTTAGAATTCTATGGTATGGGATGTAATTTGTTCGTACCGGTAGGAGACTTATTGTGACCATTAACTAATAAGTAGGCAAATTGCACGCAACTCCAATACACAATATATGTAACGTGGGTAAATTCGATTCTTAGAAAGTGTTAGTATTTGCATTACACTCATTGATTGTCAAATTAAATCCCTTTATTTTTAAGTAATAAAAAAGTAATGCAGACAATGAAAATTTAATTATTTTACTTTTCTTTTCAATTTCATTACATTTTTTTTTACGGTTTGATAAACACGTCAAAATATTTTAAAAATTAAACGGGATGAGAAAATTTGTATATGAACAACTTATAAGAAGATGAAACGTAACATTAATACACAATATAGATATAACATAGGATCTTAATTTGATTTTGAAAATGGGGCAATGTTTATGTAATAAAGGAATTTAAAAATCCCAAAATTGATAAATAAACGGCATGGTAAGAATTACAGTTCTAAGTGTAAATCCTTAATAAACTAATATTAACGTTTAGGTGTCGACGTAAAACTAATCCTACCATTTTATAACAAACAACACTATTTATTATAATTAATAACAAACAATATTCAACTTAGCATTCACCAAATGCTCAGCTGTTTCATGTTACAACCTTGAAATACCACTAAGTACAAACTACCAACAGGATTTATTTGAAAATATTAGGGGTGTTCATTAGTCTTTAACTGACAATTTCGGTCGGTTTCAAAACCGAACCGACAATGTCAGTTTTTGAAAACTTAAAACCGAAACTGAACCGAAGAATAATGTCTTCGGTCGGTTAACCGACCGATTTTTATCAGCCAGTTTCTTACTTAAAAAATATTTTGTGAACTGTTTTCTTCTTAAATTTTAACCATTCAAATATTTAATATTTAAATAGTTAAAATTAAAAAGAAAAAATAGCTTAAAAGACAAAAAAAATAAAGCCTAAAAGAATGTATCATTAAGGACTAAGGCTTTTACATCTAATCTCAATAAGAAAACTTATTTATATTGAAGTCCATATTATTGAAGATTGACATTCAAAAGAAGTTAGACTTCTCTAATTTATAAGTTGTGATGGAGAAACGAAATATATAGCCCTTTATATAGAATAGTTGAGGAAATATATTTTTATCTCTTTTTAATGTGAGAATTTTCAAAGTCTGATGTGCTTAAATTTTCAAACACATCAGACTTTTAATATTCCCACATTAAAAAGAGATGAGAATATCTTCCCTCAACTATTTTATATAAATGGTTATGTATTTCATTTCTCCATAACAACTTATAAGTTAAAGAAATATAACTTCTTTTAAATGTCTATATTCAATAATATGATGGACTTATATTCACCATCTACAAGATTAGAGGTTAATAACTTTTTTTTTAAATTGATCAGTCGGTTCAGTTTAATCAATCACTTTAGTTGACAAAACTGAAATTGAACCACCCATAAACCAGAGACGGTCAGTTAACCGACCGAATTAGTCAGCTTATTAACGTAAAATTGAATTTTTAATTTTTTTCGATCGATTTAACGGTTTAGTGTCGGTCAGTTTCGATTTTTCAATTATTTTGAACACTCCTAGAAAATATACAATGATGAAACTGCCCAATAGTAGTTTACTATTTTTCTTGTCAACGCCTCTTCTTTTCTTCTATTGATCCAAGTACCCCTTAAAAAATGCAAAATTACTTTAAATTCCCCATGTCACATTTTCTTCTCCGATAAGCTCTCCCGAGTCCGACTTCACTCTGGCTCCCTCCTAAACCTTACTTTCCACCAACAATGGCGAAGCTCATCGCTTTCCTAACCCTTACCCTAATTCTTCCATTTCTCTGCACCTCCTTCTCTCCTGAGAGGCCCACCGATCGCCGAGTCCTTGTTCTGCTCGACGATCTCGCCCTCAAATCCTCTCACTCCTTCTTCTTCAAGTCCCTCCAATCGTGCGGCTTCGACCTCGACTTCAAGCTCGCCGAAAATCCCAAGATCGGCTTGCAGAGATACGGACAGTATTTATACGACGCTTTGATTCTATTTTCTCCCGCTGTTGATCGTAAGTTTTGATTTTTTTCTCTCTCCACACAGTTATTCCAATTTGGTCCAAATTTTCCCGAGATTGAATTATGCATTGGAAATTCAGAAGAAATCAGCTTGTTGTTTGTAATTTTATCAGCTTATAATTGTAATAGTTGTATTTCGTAGGTTTTGGAGGATCTATTGATGTGGCTGCCATACTGGATTTTGTGGATTCGGGGCGTGATTTGATAATTGCGTCTGATGTTAATGCATCTGACTTAGTCCGAGAGATTGCAATCGAGTGTGGAGTTGATTTTGATGAGGTTCTGTTTTGTGTTCAATTTTCTTTACAATTTTTGTTTCTCTCTAAGTGACTGAGTTGAGCTTTGTTTTATGTTGAGCTTTGTTTTATGTTCTATCTTAGCTCTGGTATATTGAGATTGATAATATGCTATTTTATGAAATGTCTAATGGGGGAATTGTTATTTTTAAATAATATGCTATTTTAGCTCTTTGGGTGTCTTCATATTCATTGATGGGACAATATTTTGTAACAATTGCTTATTTCCTGTATAGGATTCTGCTGCTTTGGTCATTGATCACACCAGCTATGCAGTTTCAGGCACCGAAGGAGACCACACTTTGATTGCCAGTGATGATTTCATTAACTCTGATGTGATTTTGGGTAGCAGGAAAATAGAGGCGAGTTCAGATTTCGACAGTGTTGATATGTTTTGTTCAATTAAGTTCCATTGGCACCAGTTTTCCAACGTTTTGAAGTATATTGTTTATGGTTCATAAGTGATATCTTCATTCAATGTTCTAAAGTTTCTTGTTAGTTTATTTGTTTCAGTGGGGGAAATAATAGCTTTCTTCTTTTTTATTTATCTCAAGAAACATAAGATGTTTTTTCAAAATATCCAAAAAAATAAAGGAAGAAAGAAATTACAATTTATGAAAATGGTATTGCTGTCACATTGTTTTGGAACCGTTTAAAGAAATTCTAATGTTTGTATGTGATAGGTCCCCACCTCTTAAAGTCTATCTATGCTAGAAGGAGGAAGAATGACAAGCAAGGATAGGCTGGTAATTTGGGGTAACAATTAGCATTGGGATGAGTAATGTTAGGATGAGTAATTATGTTGGGATATTCGGTTTTGGGTAATTGGGTAGGGCCAGAGGATCACGTTCAGTTAGTAATGGTGAGGAGTTAGTTACTAATTGGAAGAATAAATAGCCTAGCCCTGGGAAGGGAAGGCATCGTGTATTTGCTGTAAGTGCTAGTCGTTTGGAGGCTTGAGGGTCCTCGAATTCTCCTCCTATCTGTATTTTCCATTTTTCTCCAGTAATACAAGGAACCAGACCCATTTTCTGGTTATTTTCCATCCAATTATTCTATTTGTCTTTCGAATACTTAGAAGGAAATTCTTAGTGATCCCGGGAACCTAACAATTTGGTATCAGAGCACCAATCCATGGCGCACCAGTTAGATCATTTGGGGTCCTTGGAGAGACGGTTGAACAATTTCCAAGATACTCTGCAGGCACTCGAAACGACGGTGGATCCGGTACCTAGGTTGCAGGAGGAAGTGGCTTCCGTGGGAGTACGGATCGGCGAGGTGCAAGGGGAAGAAGCTGCGGTGGGAGCCAAGGTGGACGGAATTCAGGGTACCATCAATAGACTCGAGGAGCTCATGGTATGACAAGCTCGGAACCACCGCTCACCCCCACGGCGACCAAGAGAAGACAACGCTCCTCTTGGGAGACTTCCGGAGGATCAAACCCCACCACGGCGCGAACCCGGTCGGCGTACTCGAGCCGATCTGAGTCCTCCGAGAAGAGAGCATGCGAGAGGAAGGGAGGGCTACAACCGTTATCGGTCACCAGAGAGGCCTCGCGCACGGATTGAACATCAGGGTAAGAAACTCGAACTTCCTTTATTTCACGGTGACGATCCGCACGGTTGGGTTTTTCGAGCTGAACGATATTTTGCCATTAATGACGTTGACGAGAGGGAGAAGGTGGTGGCCGCCTCGGTTTGCATGGAAGGAAAGGCCCTAGGATGGTTCCAATGGCTAGACGCGTAAGAGCCTTTCGTGGGCTGGGAAGACTTACGGGAAGCTATCCTCCAGCGCTTTGGCCGTTCTTAAGAGGGCGATCCGACTGAGCGATTGATGGCTATACATAAAGGAGGCGTGGTGGCGGACTATATGGAGGAGTTTGAGTCACTGGCGGCTTCAATGAGGGGTATCCCAGAGAATGTTTTCAGGGGAGCCTTCCTAAACGGGCTGAGGGAAGACATAAGGGCTGAGGTTAAAATGCACAAGCCCATCAACTTGATAGAAGCTATGGACCTGGCCTAGCAAGCTGAAGAGAGGCTGGATGTTGTGGATCGGATCCGGAGGGCTCGGGTGGGGCGATCCAGCCGGCTGGAGTTGGGCGCACGAACCGGGTTTAGTAACCCATCCCCGAACCCGATGTCGTACAGCCCTGTAGAAAAATCAGAGAGCTTTCTTCGATCCCAAAATTGGCGAGACCAAGGGTTAACGCCTTGGACTCGCGAAGCTCCTCCGACGACCGATCCAGCGGCGAACGGCGGTCACACCTACTGGTGCATGTACTATGACGAGGTTCAACAGAGGCGGGCTCATGGGCTTTGTTTCAGGTGCGATGAGAAATTCAGCCCAGGCCATCGATGCAAGAATCGGCAGCTACAAGTTCTTCTCGCGCTCGAGGAAGACTAGGCCAGTAAGGAAAAGTACAGGGATGAGGAGGAGGAAACGACCACTGTTACGAACGGTAAAGGTGAGGAAGTCCTAGGATTATCGTTACACTCCCTAAAAGGTATGGCCACGACAAAGACGATGAAGTTGAAGGGAACCCTGGGGGATCGGGAGGTTATAATTTTGGTGGATAGTGGGGCCCCTCACAGCTTCATTGCTGCAGATTTGGTACACCAACTAGCCATACTACGGATTCATTGGTTCGACACAAGATTGAGGTGGGCAATGGGTTGAGTTTCAAACAATGTGGTGTGTGCCGAGGAGTGAGGGTGTTGGTCTAGGGATATTGGGTAGTCGAGGATTTCTTCCCTTTCGAATTGGGCAGTGCGGACTTGGTGTTGGGAATTTCGTGGTTGAGGACCTTAGGGGTGGTGCGGGCGGATTGGGCTAAGTTTACCATGAGATTCTAGAGGGGAACAGACTGGATTTGCTGGACGGGGGACCTCTCTTTGAGTTACTCCCCGGTTAGTTTGCGTTCCTTGTCACGCATTTGGAACACTACGGGGGTTGGGGTATTGTTGGAAATCCGTGCTGTAATCAACGGGGAGCTAGAAGGATAAATTCGCCCAATTCCAGCACGCTGTGAGCAGATCATCCGGGAATTCCACACGGTTTTCAGCTCACCCGAGAGGTTGCCCCCAAAACGGGTACGAGAACACTGCATAGTACTTCAGGTTGGTGCATCCCCGCCAAACATACGGCCGTACAGGTACCCACAAGTCCAGAAGGCAGAAATTGAAAAGTTAATAGCTGATATGATGGCGTCCGACATTATTCGACCTAGCAGCATTCCGTATGCTAGTCTAGTGTTATTGGTCAAGAAGAAGGACGGCAGTTGGCGCTTTTGCGTCGACTACCGCGCTTTGAACCAATTAACGATTCCGGATAAGTTTCCAATTCCCATCATTGATGAGCTGTTGGATGAGTTACATGGAGTGTGGGTATTCTCGAAATTAGACTTGCACGCAGGTTATCACCAGATACGGGTACGCGAGAGCGACGTGGAAAAAACCGCTTTTCAGACTCATGAAGGACATTACGAATTTCTCGTCATGCCTTTCGGCCTCACCAACGCCCCGGCCACGTTCCAAGCCTTTATGAATGCGGTATTCCGTCCTTTCTTACGAAAATTTATTTTGGTATTTTTTGACGATATTATGATTTATAGCAGGTCGTGGGAGGATCATTACGATCATCTGCGGAGGGTCTGTTTGCCAATTTCAGCAAGTGTGTGTTCGGGCAGGAACAGGTCCACTACTTGGGCCATGTTCTCTCGGCCGAGGGTGTGGTCGCCGACCCCTCCAAAGTCAGTGCAATGTTGTCTTGGCCAGCACTGCGGAATGTTCGAGAACTTCGTGGTTTCCTCGGCCTTACGGGTTATTATAGGCGGTTTGTCAGGGGATATGGTGCCCTCGCTCGCCCCCTCACTGATTTACTCAAGAAAGGAGCTTTTAGCTGGACTCCCACGGAAGAGGCTGTCTTCCTTCATCTGAAGCAGGCAATGACGGAGCTACCTGTATTGGCCATGCCGGATTTTACTAAACTGTTCATCCTGGAAACTGACGCATCAGGCAGTGGGGTTGGCGCGGTGTTAATGCAAGAAGGACGGCCAATCGCCTATTTTAGCAAGACTCTTTCCTCTCCTTCCCGCCTGAAATCGGTTTACGAGCGAGAACTGCTCGCCATAGTGCTTGCCGTCCAAAAATGGCGGCATTACCTCTTGGGGCGGCTCTTTATTATCCGGGCCGATCAGCAGCGTCTAAAATTCTTCTTGGACCAGTGCATTTTGCCCCCTGAGCAGTTGCGCCTTATTACCAAACTGCTCGGCTATGATTTCGAGGTACAGTATGAGCCTGGCGCCGCGAACCAGGTGGTGGATGCACTCTCACGTAAGGGGAATGGTTCCCCTGTCCAGTTAGCGGCCATTTCTGTTTCCCACCCGGTCAACACACAGGCCTTGAAACGGGATCAACTTGCGGATGTTGCCTGTCGTGCCATCATTCTGGGCATCCGCAATGGGCAACCAGTAGGCGATGGGTATGCTCTTCGCAACGACCTGCTGTGGTTTAAGGACAGGTTGGTTCTGCCTTCCTCATGGGTTCCAAGGATTCTCCGAAAGTTCCATAGTTCAGTCATCGGGGGCCATTCTGGGTTCTTGCGGACATACAAACGAATTTCAGCAAACTTTTATTGGAAGGGTATGAAGCAGTCTGTCAAGGACCATGTATCTAGTTGTGAAAAATGCCAACAAGCCAAGTCGGAAGCATTATCGCCAGCGGGTTTATTGCAACCATTACCTATACCCCAGCAGATATGGATTTTGTCGGCGGACTTCCTAAGTCGCAACGAATGGATACGGTTCTGGTGGTGGTGGACAGACTTTCCAAATACGCGCATTTTTGCCCCTTGGCTCATCCATGCTCGGCTAAGCACGTGGCATCCCTGCTTGTGCGTGAGATAGTCCGTTTGCATGGGTTTCCCCGATCGATTGTGAGTGACCGCGATTCGATCTTCATGAGTCTGTTTTGGCGGGAATTGTTCAAGCTACAAGGGACTAAGCTCCAACCCAGTACCGCCTACCACCCACAAACGGACGGAGAATCGGAGGTCACTAATCATTGTTTAGAGACGTTCCTTTGCTGTTTTGCTTTCGACAAACCACGCCTATGGCTGTCCTTTTTGCCATGGGTTGAGTATTGGATCAATACCTCTTTTAACGCGTCTATAAAATGTTCTCCTTTTTTAGCAGTGTATGATAGGGACCCTCCCACCCTCTACCGCTTCCAGGACAACTCGACCGCTGTCCACGAGGTCGCAGCCCAGTTAAAAGAACGCAATCAGGTGTTGGACGCACTCAAGGAGCACCTCCGGTTAGCGCAGCAACATATGAAGACGTTCGCCGACAAGCACCGACGGGAGGTTGAATTCTCTACTGGTGATTTGGTTTTGTTGCGGATTCGTCCCTATTTCATGAAGTCCCTAGCTCGAAAAGTTAACGAAAAACTTAGTCCGCACTTTTATGGACCCTTCACAGTTCTGGTGAAAACTGGTTCGGTTGCGTATCGCCTTGACTTGCCTACTTCTGCCAAGATACATTCCGTCTTCCATGTTTCCCAGCTAAAGCCCTTTAAAGGTCAGCAATACAAAGGTCAACCCTTCCCTGCTCAGTTGACCGGCGACCTCGAGCTCCTCGTCCGGCTAGCCGCCATCGTGGGTTCACGTACCATCACTGTGGGGGGACATCGCGTGGTTGAAGTCCTGGTGCAATGGGACGGGTTGCCCTCTTCGGATGCCACCTGGGAACCGGTTGCAGTCATGAAGGACCAATTTCCCGATTTCAACATTGGGGACAAGGTTGTCCTCGGGGGGGGGGGGGGGGAGTATTAGGGCCAGAGGATCATGTTCAGTTAGTAAGGGTGAGGAGTTAGTTACTGATAGGATTATGTTAGTAATTAGTAATCAATATAATAAGTGGTTAGTGGTTTGTTATTAGGGTTGGTTTGTTATGTTTGTTAAGCTAGTTAGTAGTAGTATATAAGGAAAAGAAAGAGACTAAAGGACGGGAATTGGTGAGAGTAAACTGAGGAAACTCTTGGGAGAGCTAGCAGACCTTTCGAAAGTCTGCAAATCTATCTTGTAATCGAGTCTAGTTCTTGTTTTCAATAATAATCTTTTCTTGGTTCGTATCAAGTGGTATATAGGATTATGTTAGTAATTAGTAATCAATATAATAAGTGGTTAGTGGTTTGTTATTAGGGTTGGTTTGTTATGTTTGTTAAGCTAGTTAGTAGTAATATATAAGGAAAAGAAAGAGACTAAAGGGGGGGAATTGATGAGAGTAAACTGAGAAAACTCTTGGGAGAGTTAGCAGACCTCTCGAAAGTCTGCAAATCTATCTTGTAATCGAGTCTAGTTCTTGTTTTCAATAATAATCTTTTCTTGGTTCTTATTAGTTACTAATTGGAAGAATAAATAGCCTAGCCCTGGAAAGGGAAGGCATCGTGTATTTGCTGTAAGTGCTAGTCGTTTGGAGGCTTGAGGGTCCTCAAATTCTCCTCCTATCTGTATTTTCCGTTTTTCTCCAGTAATACGAGGAACCAGACCCATTTTCTGGTTATTTTCCATCCAATTGTTCTATTTGTCTTTCGAATACTTAGAAGGAAATTCTTAGTGATCCCGGGAACCTAACAGTATGCAACTCTGCCGCAGGCTCCTGTACTTTTTCAGGGGCTTGGCCATACAATTAATCCTGCTAATAGCCTGGTGAGATTTCCCTAACATATAGTCATTGAACTTATTCAGCTCTGATTGTTCATTGGTTTTGTAATATTCAACCATTTTGAAAGAAAATGGTTGTATTTAGTGTGGTTTCATATGTACATTCGCTTTTGCAAATCTATCCATTGTTTAGGTGATGAAAGTTCTCTCAGCCTCACCTTCAGCATATTCTGCTAATCCGAAGTCCAAGCTGTCGAATCCTCCATCCCTCACTGGGTCTGCTGTATCATTAGTCTCAGTTGTGCAGGTTTGTCTCTGTTTGGATGAATTTCTTGTGTGAATGACTATTCACATACTATATGGTTTTCCTCGAGTCTGTAAAATAATGTGTATGCCATTTAGAATAACTCCACAAGTATATTCTATGCAAGTACAGTATTCAGTAACAAAGGGTTGTTTTCGGCTTGAGATTTGAGAACTGTCATTATCTACAAAATGACCTGTATTTTGATTATCACTTTATGCTTTGCCGTTTTGAAATTTTTTTTACATATTCTCATTATTATTTGTCTGTGCACCTTTTCAACGTATTTTCTAAAGTATTTTTCAATACAATAATTCATTCTACTACAACTGGTGGCAGGCAAGAAACAATGCTCGGGTTTTGATCTCTGGTTCATTGAGCATGTTCAGCAATCGGTACGGAGTACTTTCCAGTGAAACTGGGTTCCTTTTTTTTTGTGTTAATTTCCGGTGAAAGGATTTTTTTTTCCCTTAAAAAATTCTATTGACAAGCTTTCTATCTGTTTTCAGATTTTTCAGGTCTGGGGTGCAGAAGGCTGGGAGTTCTATTAAGTGAGTGATGCTTCTACTATTAACAAAGATTCTTAGCATCTGTTGATGCCAGGTTGATTAATTAAAATCTTTTTGAAGTACTTCATACTTTTTTGTTTTTTGTTTTTGTTTTTTAACGGGTACTTCATACTTTTATCAGTCTCTATAACTGAAAGATCATTATGAATTTCAAATTTCTAAATTTAAAAAGGAAATAGTTAATAAAAGTCACATATGACACCAACTCGTTATTTAGTAAAAGTCACATATTACAGTGCCAACTAGGAACTAGGATTTATCTATATGAATTTATTGCCACATATGCTGCATTTTGGCAGAATTTAGAAGAAACATGTAGGCCACAGAAAAAGGCTCAGGTTTTTGAAAACAAAAAGAAGAGCAGCCGTAAAGTTCAGCTGGTTATTGTTCACTTAATCCGTGAAAAAGATTAGCCGTTTGTGCATCCGTTTTGTAAATCTGCAAGATATTCAATCAGTTGTATGAGTGGAAGTAAAAAGAATGAGATGGTTATTTTGTTGAAACAGATATGAGAAATCGGGTAACGAGCAGTTTTTGACTGAACTTAGCAAATGGGTTTTCCATGAAAGAGGACATCTTAAGGTAAGGCAAAAATAGCTGTTCTGGGTCGTGGTTTCGTTTTCTGTAACAGTTTGACTATGTGAGAAAAAAATAATTTGGGAAAAGAAATAAAATGTAAAAGAAGATAAATTAAAATGGGCTCATGGCATCAATTCTGGTATTCATTTATATTATATGTTTTCAATAGTGCATGTGCTCACGATATAAAAGTATTTTTTAATTTGCAGGCTGAGAATGTAAGACACCACAAAGTTGGCGAAGCAGATGAACCTGCAATCTACAGGATCAACGATGACTTGGTAATTTTTACTTGTAATGTTGATATGTTTCCCTTTATAGTTAGAAACAAAAAGCTTTTGAAACTAACTCATGTCATACTCATAATTGAAGGAATACTGGGTTGAGATATATGAATGGTCTGGTTCAAGTTGGGAACCATATGTTACAGACGATGTTCAAGTTCAATTTTACATGATGAGTCCCTATGTCCTGAAGACCTTATCAACTGACCAGAAGGTAATGTTTCAGTTCATTTGGCCATCCTTGCATGTCATATCTTCAACATCCGGAACAGCTTTCTAAATAATTTGTTTTTTGTTGCAGGGTCGTTATTTTACTTCATTTAGAGTTCCTGATGTTTATGGAGTTTTCCAGTTCAAACTTGAGTACAACAGGCTTGGATACACGAGTTTATCTCTATCAAAGCAGGTATCTGATGTTTTGATAGATGTTTTTGTTTATGTTGCAACTCTTAAAGAAAATGCTATGTCTTACCCAAAAAAAAAAAAAAAAAAAAAAAATGAAAGCTTTTATGCTTTACTTTACAGGAACTAATCCAGCATAACTTCCATTCCACAAATTAAGCGTTGGAGCTTCATTAATTAAAATTGATGTATGTATTTATAGAAAAAATCCGACTGTTAAGTTAGATATGATCAGGATCTAGCCAAATTAGCAAATTGCTGAAAGACTTGTTAGAATTTGAGTTTGCTATGTTGGAGTTCTTGGTACCGTGATTTACTTCCTTGTATTTTGTCCCTCCTTGGGAATTCACAAAACAATGGGGATAAGAATTAAAAACCTTGGAAATTTAGCACCGTAAGAACCATACAAGTGACATGCGTGTATAAAACCTTGGACTTCAAATTGCAGATTCCAGTCCGGCCGTTTAGACACAATGAATACGAGAGATTTATACCAGCAGCTTATCCCTATTATGGAGCAGCATTTTCTATGGTATCATTTTCTTTCCTTTTTTCTTTACAGTTCTCTATTTTATGTTCTGGAGCCTGCTTAACTTAAGTTTAGTTTTCCTATTTCTTTCTGAGTAATGCTAGGACACCAAGTCTAGTCCCAACTCTTTTTTGCCAAGATATGTGACATTAAGTTGTCATTTTTTCATTAGTAGATGCAATAATTTATTATTTGATTGATGTGACAAATCTTTTAAGCACCTACCAATAAAAGGATGACAATTCATGTGCTATGTCAGTTGGCACGAGAAGTTGGATTAGAGTTGGAATCCTAGCAGTATTCTTTCTTTTTTTCCCCATACTTCACTTCCAGGCTGCCTTTAGAGTTGCCTTTACCCATCTTCTCTGAAACTTCAATTTGAGGTTTTCCCTTGTGTGTTTCAGAGAGTGCCAGTATCTGCATGTACTATGTGGACATGGTTTGCTGTTAGCACCTTGAAATTGTAGATGCCATAAGCTACATTAACATATTGTATTGAGTTTAATTTAATAGCTCTCCCAATAATTAACTTGGGACAAATCTTTATGAGCTTTGAGTAACATAGCGCTTGGACTACATCGCAGATGGTTGGTTTCTTCATTTTCACAGCGGTTCACCTATACAGCAAGTAGCTTTGGAACCATTTGACATGGAGATGAGATGGTATGCGGTTTCAGCGCTCGGATGAAAAATTTTGATTAGAGCGAGAATTTAGGTGGATGTTTCTCAATATTATAGAATCTCAGTGCTAATAAATATGTAAGAGAAATGTCTTTTTGGTCACATAGTCCAACATCATTTCCTGTTTTAAGGTTTCTAAAGTAAGAGACTGTACTTAGTACTTACACATCAATATGTCAGTTTGGTCGATACTACCTACGCATGCACGAAGGGACGTGTGTGTGTGTGTTTTTTCCTCCTGTTTATTATTTTTTGAAAGAGGAACTTGTCCAGTATGGAAATATCACGGCATTTTGACAAGAGCACGACTTTTTTTCCCCCTATTGTAGAAGGATGGGTTATGCATTGGATTGAGAAAGAAAATAAGAATGAGAAAGGAAAATGACGTGCACAGTAAAAATTTCAACAACACAACAAATCTAGGTGCTTGTATAGTAGCTTGGCACCTTAAGTGAGTATAATTTTTCCTCATCTCAAACTGCGCTTGATTGTGCACCCACTCTCCGAAAATAATCTAATCCTTCAAGGACATAGGTTGGCAAGAAAATTTCAACTGAATAGCAGTCTGGTTTTTAAGTATTTTACACATGCTATGCTCTGGACTCTGCCTTTAAATCATATTTGAGCCGTAGATATCCAATGTACGGAGGAGCAATTGAACATAAATTTTGGGGATCTATTGTCTAACGGAGACATAGTTATATAGTTAAAGAGTTCTTTGGTAGGGGTACTAAAATTCCCCACCAATAGGGTACAAATAAAAAAAATCAAGTAATTTGCAACGGTGGTCCTTAAATTTTTTTAGTTGGTGACACTTTAGTTTTAATTTTGATAAAACAACTCTCGAATTCTTAAAACATTGACAATTAAAGGTCTTCCATCCAAATCCGTGAAAAAACTCACATATTTCATGTGATTGGCACACCCTTGTTTCTACGAATTTTTTCACGGATTTAGACAAAAGACTTTAATTGCCAATGTTTGAAGAATTCGAGAATTGTTTTGTCAAAATTAAAAAAAAGGATCGAAGTGTCACTTATTAAAGAATTGAGAGACCACTGGTGTAGATTACTCTTAAATTAAAATCGAGAGTTGTTAAGAAGGACAAATAACTACCAAATAAAATAAAACCTCCCACCCATCACACATGATTATTACAACACTCATTCAAAATATAATAATAATAATAATAATAATAATAATAATAATAATAATAATACTCATGATTATTACAACACTCATCCAAGGTTTTTTTTATTTTATATATTTGCCCTCTTATCGTGATCTAACAAATTACTCAAACTTTTAATTTTGACAATCAACTCTCTGAAGTTGTTTAATTGAGTAACCTTATTTCATAAAAGACTGTTAAAAAACTAACGGAAATAAACATGTGTAAAGTCATGTGTTAGGTTTTGAAGGGACATAATAGGTATTCTATTTGCCTAATTATTAAATTAAATATGTACAATAAAACAATAAAAGATAAATGACTGAGATTAATTTAGGATTTTTGTTATTATTTTATTGAAAAGTTAGGCATATAGAATACTGATTATGCCATTCAGAACCTACTAACATGCGACTTGAACATGTTTATTTTCATAAGTTTTTAACAACAGTTTGTGAAATGGGGTTAATTGCAACAATTAAAAAAATATAGGGGTTTGATTGCAAAAATTAAAGTTTTAAGGGCAATTTACTAAATCACAAGTTTGGAGTGTAAATGTGTTAAAAACTCATAAAAAATAGGACAAATTTTATAAATTCTCTCTAAACTTCGTCACTTGTGCCAATATGCTCCCTAAACTTTAAAATGTGCATGTGTGTGCACCCTGAACTTTGTCACTTGTGTCAATATGCCCCCTGAGATTAACTCCGTTAAGTTTTTTTAACATAAATGCTTATAAACACCCCATAAACTTTGTCACTTGTGTCAATATGCCCCCTAAACTTTAAAATGTATATGTTTCCCCTCCCCCCTGGAACTATGATATGTCTCCAACTTTTTTCTCTCAATCTTGATTATATCAGATTTTTGAACGAAAATATTGATATGACCATTAAATTGCTAATTATCTATAATATTTTACCATTAAAGTTTGTTAAGTTAATGGGCTTCTTAAGGTCTGTGTTGATTTTTTTAAAAAGAATGTATAATAAAATAAATGATCTGAACGCATTTAAATTTAGAAATACTATATATGTATAAAGCATAAACATATTTCATGTTGAACACTTCTATCTAGGTGAAATATTAAGTAAAAAAAAAAAAAACTAACAAAATTCATTACATTATACAGATTTACTCCTCATTTTTTTCCTTCTTTATTGCCTCTAATAAACTAATGTTTTGAGAATTGGTGCTTAACTGACATTTTTAGAGGAGAATGTATTCAATAAACCTCAAATATAATAGATTATTAGTAATTTAATGGTCATATCAATATTTTCGTTCAAAAAACTGATAGAATCAAGATGAAAATGAAAAAGTTGGAGACATATCATAGTTTGAGGGGCAAAACATGTATATTTTAAAGTTCATGGGGCATATTGACATAAGTGATAAAGTTTGAGGGGCATTTATAAGCATTTCTGTTAAAACGCTTAACGTAGTTAACCTCAGAGACATGTTAATACAAGTAACAAAGTTCAAGAGACATCGCATGCACATTTTAAAGTTTAGGGGGTGACAAAGTTTAGGAAGAATTTATAAAATTTATCCTAAAAAATATATGAGTTTTTTTCCCGTCTCCACCATCGGACCCAAATTTTTACCCCGCCGGAGAATCATCCCGAGAAGATCTCTCGGGTCCCTTCCGCACGTCACTGCCATCGGCAGCTTGGCCCCCTCCATTCTCCATCGTTGAAAATAACACAGAAAAATTAATTAATGGGAAGCACATAGCTTACTTCGCAGGTGAAATTTTGAAAGGAAAGGACCCCAAACTAGCTTCTCACAATTACCAAAGAAACATTAGATTATCAAATATCAAACAATTTGGAAATTTATTGTCGTCTCCAAACACTTTTATTTTTTTAATGCAAGTTTTTAGTTGCTGAAATATAGAGCAACAATTGCTTTTAAAGCAATCCACAGCAAGCCAGCAATCCAAATAAGGATTACCTCGGCACGTTCTTCACAACGATCATCGGTGTCGGAGAAGAAGATGTTTGCATGGACATGAGATAACAGACTATGGGAAGAAGATCACGCTGCCGTGGGGGAGTCGCGTGACCGAGGGTGGTACGTTAGCGCCTGCGTCGATGGTGGGAGACTTCGAGCTGCCGCCGGAGGAAGTCGTCAGATCACTACAATAAAAAAGCTTATTTACAACGATAATTATCGTCGTAAATAACTGTATTGTCGTCGCAAATATTATATTTTCGACGACACGTCGTTGCAAAAAACCCGACGCAAATAATATATTTACGACGATAAAATTTTTAAATGTTGTCGTTAATATATTAGTCACTACAATCGTCACGAATAAGTCGTCACAAATACTCCGTTGAATATGTCGTGTTCTTAATTATTTGCGACGACTACGTGTTGTCGCAAAACTATTTAAAATCTTTTGTGACCATAGGCTTCAAAGTGTTGTCACTAGTAATGTAGACTATTTGCGACGACAATTTAAATATGTCGTCGTAAATATTTTTTTTGTCGAACTTTACTAATATATTAATTATTAAATATATAAATTAGAAGAAAATTTCATAATAAAATAAAACAATAAAATTGATATTTATTAATAAAAAATTGATATAAAATAGACAACACAATAATAAGATCAGTTTTAAAAAGTAAATTAATCAAGAAATATTAAAAAGTATTGATAAAAATAGATATTTTAATCCCCTAAATTACCAGCATCGTCGACTTCGTCATCGTCTTCTTCGTTTAGCTCAGGCGGCAGAGGAACCAACAGTTGGGGATAGTTAAGTGGCAAGAAGTTGATGTTGAGATTCATCGAGCGCATGGCTTCCATCATGAACTGTTGGTTGTCGAACATGTTGTATTGGTCGATGTAGATGTTGTTCAGCCAGTTTTGGACATACTGGGGCAAATTAACCGAAGACGAGCCGTCCGATTGCGAATCAGATGATAAGGTGAAAGCGCTTGAATGATTCTTCCATGGTAGTGTCGATCTCACTCCCTTAGTGTGTCCTCTGCGCTTGTCCAAGACTTAGGACATAATCCCTTCCTCATCGACCGTGGTGGCAGATGAACCTTCGCCAGCAGACTGTGTCATTTGCGTGGTTTTTTTCCCCCTCCATCTGAGCCTGCAAAGGTAAATAAAATAAAAATGAATAAAAATAGTATAATATGTTATATTAAATATTAAAAAATAAATAAATTTAAAATTTACTTACAAATGTCATTTCAGCGTCTGGATTGACAAAACTCTGCCCATGACGGTGCATGTCACCCCAATTTTCAATCAATGATCTTGGCTGCTGGGTCTCGGGATTTGCCTAATCAAGTTGAATGTGTTAGAATAATTATTAAGCCAAAGTGACAAAAACTTAACAAGTATGCAAATTAGTATTACCTTATTGAAACGATGCTGGTGTATGACTTTCTTGTTGGGAATAGTGTCATAGAAGCATGAGATGTAATAGGATATTTATTATTTAATTAATAAAAGAGTTTATTCATCATTTTATGTGCATATATTTATGAATATTTTATGAATATCAAATGAAAATTCCGTGATTGTTTATGTAACCTTAAACATAGTATATAAGTGTTATATAGTAGAGGATAGTGTTTAAGGATAATAATAAAAAACGTTGTTCATGATGAATTTAATTAAAGTTTGGAATCTTTAATTAAAACATTATTAATACATGTCATTCCCATTTAGAATGGAACGGTGTTATCCGTACTATTAATATGGCGAGATATTGAATGAGTATATTTCGCATAATAAGATTATGTGGAACAAGGACAAAGACACAATATGAATTTCTAATAATTTCCGTTAAGCATAGAAATTCTGATTGAGTCTGCCGATGGTCATATATAAGATGATCTTAATCCTGAGTTCTTAACAAACTCCTATTTATGGATTTATGTCTTTTAATTTACTCGGTACGGATTCCGAGACCCTGAATCCTATTCCTTGTATTTTGCAGACATAATGAAATAGGTAGCTGGGAATGTTATTGTACGAGATGGAATCCATTCCTTCTTGAGAAA